GATCACGAGCATCCAGTAGAGTTTTACGGCCTTGACCCTTACGCACATCTTGATCTGTCATCTATGTTATATTACGAATAAAATATTGACATTTGCCATCTCCACATCATTGCATTCAGTTTTTATTCACAATTTGTTTAGTGTCCCAACTTTTTTGGAATCCTGTTTGTAAAACACGAACATCATTCATAAGATTAAAGTCTGATTCAGCCTGTCTGTCAGTTGGAATGATCTCACAGTGGCTTCTCCTCACACATCCTCCACACAAAACGAGCTGTTGTTCTCAGAACAGGTTTTTTCAAAATCACCGCAGCTCAAGGAACACACAGAACGCTCGCGTGACACAGCAGCCAAAAGTGAATGTTTTCATCAGACCGAGTCCAGTGGGAAACCTCGCTCTCAGCCTGAGCTGCACGCTGCTCCCTCTCACCGCAGCGGTGTCAAACGCGCGCTCCTGCGGCGCTAGCAGTTTTTACCAAAATGGAGCCGCGTTGATGAGGACGCGCACACCTCTCCTCAGTACACGCCCGCTCACATCAGCATGAATGTGAGCCCGCAGCCTGAGCGTGGCACAGAAGCACCGCGCACCCGCGACAGCACTAAACCTACACGGTTCCGCATGCTCGGGGCGCGCACACCACTCCTCACCACACGCCGGCTCACATCAGCATGAATGTGAGCCCGTAGCCTGAGCGCGGCACAGAAGCACTCGCGGCAGCTCTAAACCTACACGGTTCCGCATGCTTGGGGCGCGCACACCTCTCCTCAGCGCATGCCAGCTCACATCGACACGGATGTGAGCCCGCAGCCTGAGTGTGGCACACATAACGGCAGTGATTGGCGTCCGTAAATAACGTGAAGCAGCATAAACGCGTGCCCGCTTCCCGAACGTTATGCGGAGTGGCAGCGAGCGTGCGCTCTAGACAGATGGATGAACCGTTTTTATCAGCGGGGGATTCACGCTGCAATTACAGCTCAAACCCCCGTTTGGAGGAGTTTTAGAGATGGTTTTGTCATCCTCAGTCCAGATCTCATCCCTACACACAGAAGTTTAGGAAATTTCTGGTAAAATATGTAATTTCCAGGGTTCCCGACGGAGAGGAAAACACAGGGTTTTACTCACGTTACTTTCTGGTCCCAAAACAAACTGGAGGAATGGGATCCTTTTTGGACTTGTCAATTTTCAACACATTTTCACATGTTGACAACCAGACATCTGTTAGACAACATTCAGTGAAACGATTGATTTATCTCCATCGATCTGAAAGATGCCTAGTTCCACATCCCAATCATCCCTCACGCCTCGTACGTTCTCAAGTGTGTGGAGACGGCTTTGCAACCGTTACACAGAGCAGGGATGAGAATTTTGTTTTACCTAGACGATTTGTTGCTACTGACTCGTTCCAGACAGGAAGTAGCAGCGCAGACCCAGGTGCTGACATCACTCCTGTTAAATCTGCGCTTCACCATAACTTGGGAGAAAAGCTCGATTCTCCCGGCCTAGACGATCGTTTATCTGGGAGTGGAGCTAAACTCGATCACCATGAGGGCTCGTTTATCACAGATGAGAATCGAAACTTTAAAAGACCAGCTCCACCACGTAAGGCCTAGCAGAGTGGTAACAGCCATTTCTGTCATGAAGCTGTTAGGAATGATGTCGTCAGCTCACACAGTGGTTCTGCTGGGCTTACTCCACATGCGACGCCTCCAGAGATGTTTTGCTCGTCTGCGCTTGGATCTGGTAAAGCAGAAGAGACAGATGATCGCTGTACCTCCCTCTGTGAGAACAGACCTCCGACACTGGGGAAACTCCCTGGTTCTGTCGGAGGGAGTCCCTGTCAGTAGACCTATGTCACACGTGTCAGTCTTCACAGACGCGTCGCTGTCACTCACACAACGGCTCATATAAACGTTCTGGAATGTCGCACGTTTTTGAATGTGATTCAACACTTTGCCTCTGTGCTGCGGAATCAACATGTGTTGATTCACACAGACAACAAGGTGACTGCTGCATTCATAAATCGGCAGGGGGGTGTGCGCTCAGCCCAAATGTTACATATTGCGAGATGGTTGCTGTGTTGGGCACACCAAAATCTGCTCTCCATCAGAGCAGTGTACATCCCCGGTGTTCTGAACAAAGGGGCAGATGTGATGGCCAGGGTCGGTCCGCGTCACGGGGACTAGAGCCTCCATCCTGGGCTGATGGCTCAGACGTGGCAGAAATTTGGCAAAGCGGCCGTGGACCTGTTTGCAACACGAGAGAACGCTTAGTGTCAACTATGGTTCTCACTGAGCCCGCGGGACGAACCACCGCTAGGGGTGGACGCGTTTGCTCACAGCCCATGGCCCAAAATGCTTCTTTGTGCGTTTCTCCCACTCCCTCTGATATTATGGTTTCTGAACAGAGTTCAGGAGGAGGGACTGACAGCTCTCCTGGTGGCTCCCGAGCGCGTAAACGCCCCATGGTTCCCAATTCTATGACACCTGTTATCGGGGCGCCCGTGGAAATTGCCGTGGAGAGAGGATGCTCTCCTCCAGGCGGGAGGAGCAATCAGGAGTTACCCAGAAATAGGCCAGCACCTTTGGGTCTGGCCGCTGAGCGGATCCACTTAGAAAGGACGGGTCTCTCTCAAGATGTAGTGCGTACAATCCAGGATTCACGTACTGCATCCACCACAGCGCTGTACACATGAAAGTGGACAGCTTTTCAGCATTGGTGTACAGAGAAAGGTGTAGAGGCCACTTCATGTCCACTAGGTGGCGTGCTGTCCTTTCTGCAGCAGCTGATGGACAGAAATCTGGCGTTCAGCACGATTAAAATGTACGCTGCAACCATCTCTTCTTGTCAAGAAGGTTTCGGGGACAGAACAGCTTTTAATCATCCGCTGATGAAGCGTTTTTTAAAAGGTGTACAGAGACGCAGGCCTGTTTCATGCCTACTTGCTCCACAGTGAGATTTAATGCTGGTTCTGCAAGCCCTGATCAAAGCTCCATTTGAGCCACTGAATCAGGTTCCAATTAAATTCTTGTCTCTTATAACAGCCCTGCTGCTGGCTTTAACATCCGTTAAGAGGGTGAGTGATTTATCTGCCCTCTCTTTCGCTCCATCATGTCTCAGAATTCAGGCTGACGGCAGCTCAGCTGATCTGAGACCTAACCCAGCGTTTATGCCTAAAATATCACGAGCTCTTTTTAATCAAGAGCGATATCGTTGGAGGGTTTTTCCCCTCCCCCCCACAAATCAGAAGAAGACGCATCTTTCCTTCTTCTCTGTCCTGCGCGTGCGTTGACGTGCTACATAGCACGCACGGCCGCAATGCGTCAGACTCAACATTTGTTTGTGCCTTATAGAGACTCATCTGCAGGTCGCCCGTTATCTACCCAGCGCCTGTCACACTGGCTGTGTGAGGCCATTTCTGAAGCCTACAGAGCATCAGATTTAGAGCCTCCTCACAACCTCAGGGCACACTCGACCAGGGGTATTGCATTTCGACTGCTTTGCATAATGGTATGACAATGCAGGATATTTGCACTGTGGCCGCGTGGTCAACACCCTGCTCATTTATTCGCTTTTATTTACGTGATGTGTTGGCCTGTTCCATGACACATTCTGTCCTTAGTGTTTTAACAGAATGAACATTGTTGTTTCATGGAATCTCGTTTAAACTCACATCTGACTGCATGCATTTACAGTGTGAGATGCCGTTATCAGTCACAAGTTGTGACTGTTGTTCTTGTTCTATTGTCATTAATCAGTTCATGACTATTGTTACCAATCAGTTCATTTGATTAATAATCAGTTCACTTGTTATTATTAATCTGTTAATATTGATCAACCGTGGATCTGCTTGGTTCACGGCCTTTTTCAGCCTCTTCTTTTTCCCCGTTGAAAACTTTTTCGGGGCGTTCATGCACTCAGAACGCATAACTATGCAGCACGCGTCTGTGCATGGTACGCGTAATTACGCAACGCGCAATTACGCACATGGAGAGCTGAGTGACGAGACAATTTTTGGACAAGCTGGCGCTTCATATGGTGTTCGAATGGACCCAGTGAGGTGAGGACTACATCTGCTTTGCCCTTAACCCACCAGCAACAGCTCTTAAAGGGCGAAGCCTATACGAAATAGAACGTTGGTTACGTACTGTAACCCCAGATTCTATGAGTATAGGCATAGCCCTTTAAGCGTTGGGCCTCACTGGCTCCTAAATAGCTGAAGAAAAAGCTATTTGGGAGCCGATTATACCCGCTCTTAACGTAATTTATACGGAGCGGGTGGGGCCCACACAACAGGTGGGCATGGACTAAACTTTTCAGTGCCATGCTTTGCATGGCAGGATAAAACCCACCAGTGACAGCTCTTAAAGGGCTACGCCTACAGGTCCTTCTCAAAAAATTAGCATATTCTGATAAAGGTCATTATTTTCCATAATGTTAATGATAAAAATGAAACTGTCATATATTTCAGATTCATTGCACACCAACTGAAATATTTCAGGTCTTTAATTGTTTTAATACTGATGATTATGGCATACAGCTCATGAAAACCCAAAATGTCTGTCCCAAAAAATTAGCATATTTCATCCCACCAATGAAAGACAAGTGTTTTTAATACGAAAAACGCCAACCTTCAAATAATCATGTTCAGTTATGCACTCAATACTTGGTCGGGAATCCTTTTGCATGAATGACTGCTTCAATGCGGCGTGGCATGGAGGCAATCAGCCTGTGGCACTGCTGAGGTGTTATGGAGGCCCAGGATGCTTTGATAGCGGCCTTAAGCTCATCCAGAGTGTTGAGTCTTGCGTCTCTCAACTTTTTCTTCACAATATCCCACAGGTTCTCTATGGGGTTCAGGTCAGGAGAGTTGGCAGGCCAATTGAACACAGTAATGCCATGGTCAATAAACCATTTACCAGTGGTCTTGGCACTGTGAGCAGGTGCCAGGTCGTGCTGAAAAATGAAATCTTCATCTCCATAAAGCTTTTCAGCAGATGGAAGCATGAAGTGCTCCAAAATCTCCTGATAGCTAGCTGCATTGACCCTGCCCTTGATAAAACACAGTGGACCAACACCAGCAGCTGACATGGCACCCCAGACCATCACTGACTGTGGGTGCTTCACACTGGACTTCTGGCATCTTGGCATTTCCTTCTCCCCAGTCTTCCTCCAGACTCTGGCACCTTGATTTCCTAATGACATGCCAAATTTGCTTTCTTCCAAAAAAAGTACTTTGGACCACTGAGCAACAGTCCAGTGCTGCTTCTCTGTAGCCCAGGTCAGGCACTTCTGCTGCTGTTTCTGGTTCAAAAGTGGCTTGACCTGGGGAATGCGGCACTTGTAGCCCATTTCCTGCACACGCCTGTGCATGGTGGCTCTGGATGTTTCTACTCCAGACTCAGTCCACTGCTTCCGCAGGTCCCTCAAGGTCTGGAATCGGCCCTTCTCCACAATCCTCCTCAGGGTCCGGTCACCTCTTCTCGTTGTGCAGCGTTTTCTGCCACACTTTTCCCTTCCCACAGACTTCCCACTGAGGTGCCTTAATACAGCACTCTGGGAACAGCCTATTTGTTCAGCAATTTCTTTCTGTGTCTTACCCTCTTGCTTGAGGGTGTCAATGATGGCCTTCTGGACAGCAGTCAGGTCGGCAGTCTTACCCATGATTGCGGTTTTGAGTAATGAACAAGGCTGGGAGTTTTTAAAAGCCTCAGGAATCTTTTGCAGGTGTTTAGAGTTACGTCGTTGATTCAGATGGTTAGGTTAATAGCTTGTTTAGAGAACCTTTTCATGATATGCTAATTTTTTGGGACAGGCATTTTGGGTTTTCATGAGCTGTATGCCATAATCATCTGGATGTTTAAAACAATTAAAGACCTGAAATATTTCAGTTGGTGTGCAATGAATCTGAAATATATGAAAGTTTCATTTTTATCATTACTTTATGGAAAATAATGACCTTTATCATAATATGCTAATTTTTTGAGAAGGACCTGTATACTCATAGAATCTGGGTTTACAGTACGTAATCAACGTTCCTCTGTCTGCCTGTCTCTCTGTTTGTCTCCGTCTGCCTGTCTCTGTCTACCTGTCTCTCTATTTGTCTCTGTCTGCCTGTCTCTCTGTCTCCCTGTTTCTGTCTGCCTGTCTCTCTGTCTGCCTGTCTTTCTGTCTGCCTGTCTCTGTTTGCCTGTTTCTGTTTGTTTGCCTGTCTCTCTGTCTGCCTGTCTGTCTCTCTGTTTGTCTCTGTCTGCCTGTCTCTCTGTTTGTATCTGTCTGCCTGTCTTTCTGTCTGTCTCTGTCTGTCTGCATTCATGCTGTTTCTCTGTCTTCCTTCAGAAATCCCTGGTTTCAAAGCCACCCCTGACCCCTCCCTCACCCCTCTACACTCTGACCCACACTCACCGTCTTCTGCCCCGTCCCCACTCCACCTGTCCTCTCCCACCCCCACAGAACCGCTGGTCTCCTCCCAGCATTCTGCCAGAGAACCCTGCAGGGGCAGTGGGCGTCTGGAGGACTTCCTGGAGAGCACCACGGGCACGCCACTGCTGGGCATGGAGCCTGACGGTGGCCTGACGCTGATCGATGACCTCCACAGCCAGATGCTGAGCACCCCCAGCATCCTGGACCATCCTCCCTCCCCCATGGACACATCTGACCTGGGCTTCTCCCCTCCCTCTGCGGGGCTGGACTTTGGCGTCCCCTCCTTGGACAGCATGGACTGGCTTGATATTTCCATGGGGACTGAAGGTGTTGGCAGTGAGAGCGGCGGAGGCAGGAGGGGAGGAAGCATAGCTGGTGAACGAGATGGAGGGACGAGTTTAGCCCCGCTGGCGCCGCACACCCCCCCGAGTGTGTTCTCAGCTGATTTCCTGGACAGCACAGATCTGCAGCTGCACTGGGAGTCGTGCCTGTAGCTGCAGACGAACCTGTTGTCACTCACTGTGTACAGGCTTCGGCTTTACTTCATACACTTTTACATGCTGTCTACCACTGCAGGGGCACTGACACACACACACACACACACAAATAATTAGCTTCTGTTCATGTCTGCAGCTGAGGGGACGTAAGCAACAAAAACACTGCAGCTGGTGAAGCTTTGTGTTGTGATTCTGCAGGGCTTCGAGCAGCAGGTGAATCAAACCCTCTTCTTGTGCCTGGACCTGCACTGAACAATCAGAACCAGGACCGATCCAGAAGAGGGGCTCAGGCTCTCTAATATGACCGTGTGTGTCAGTGCCTCCCAAACTTTGCACTTATTGCTGAATCTGATTGGCTTGAAGGAGATGATGAGATCAGCAGCTGAATCTTAGACTGGTTGTGTTCTGATGATCCCACTGATGAGATGGAAATAAAGGCAGCCTGAAGCCCACCTCACCAGTCAACAATGGTCACTGCTGTAGAAATGAACCATATCAGCAGCAATGGTTTGAAATGACGCCTCCTTGGAGGCTGTGTATTTTTGCTAACATGACGGTAAACCACTATGTATTGCTGTATATGGGGTGTATATTATCAACTGTCCATAAGACTTATTTTTTCTTTGCTGATTGCTTTAGCGTGGAGCTACCCGGCTGAGGGGCCTGAAGTGGGGCCGGGGCTTCTAAAACATCTGGTCCTTTTTAAAAAAAATAAAAATACAATAAAAACACAACACGAGTCTTTGTTGTTTAATTGCACATTAACAAACAATATGTTTTAGACTTGGTTGAAACTTGGATACATGTTCAATTAAAGACCTTGCATTCCTTAAATGAATAGATATTGCCCGCCACGTTTCACCAGTTTTAGATCATCTAAATGTAAAGGTGAGAAGTAATGGAGCTGTAGCTGTTTTGGTTGGATCTCAATAATAATATCATTCTCAAATCGCAGACAGATGGGCAGACTGAGGGTATTTACAACTTTGCCCTTCGCTCCACAATCAGGAATAAAGATAAAGTCTAATATTAAAGAGGGTGTTTTAATGAATTTGCAATGGAAATGTTAAAAACATTGCAATAACTTAAGTACTTTGTTTTTGATGTTGCCTTTAACCTTTTTGACTGTGTTAATTCAGTCATCTTATTAGCACCAAGACCCATTTTTTCCAGTTTTCCTGTTTAAGGAAACTGGCTTTATTCATTGAAATCACTGAGCACAGGCAGCATGGTGGCTCAGTTGGTAGAGCTGCTGCCTCGCAGCGAGCAGGTTACCCTGGTTCAAATTCCTGGTTCGGGGGCCTTTCTGGGTGCAGTTTGCATTCATTCATTCAACCTTTATTTAGACATGTTAATCTCATTCAGCCTCGAGGACTCATTTACAAGAGGGACCTGATTTTAACAAAGAGTGATGACAACAATGGACAATCATAAAAGAGGCATACAGATATTTTTATTTTAATAAATTAAGATGGCAAAAAAAAAAAAAAAACATTCTAAGGCGAATGTAGAAAACTAAAAACTGGAACATGTCTGTATTGGTTCTTGCCAGGAGTCCAACAGATTCTTAAAGCCACTTAGAGAGGTCAAGGTCGAGAGCTTCAGGTCTTTTTGTAAGATATTCCAGGAAACAGGAGCGGAGTATTAGAAGGCCCTTTTGCCTAGTTCAGTCCGCACTGAGGGAACACTGCAGGTAATGTCCTGAGAGCGCACGCTGTAGCTGCACTCGCACAGAGACATGTAGGAGGTGATGTATGAAGGCAGCAGACCAAGAAGTGATTTAAAGATGAAAGTTTACCAGTGAGAAAGTCTGCGTGAAGTTAACGATGTCCATGAGCATGCCGTTGAGCAGTCATTGAGCATGGACTTTGTTGTTGTCAACCAGTTTAACAAGACTGTCAACAAGGAAGAGGGCCGGCAATGGAGGAGGGGGCGTACCAAAGATACCATCTTATCATAAGCAGAACTGGTTTGTTCTACTTTGGAATAAGCTGTTGGGGGAAGAATCAGTTTTGTTGTGTGTTTCCTTGACTGATGAAGCCTTCCGGATCGAAGGCGAAACGTTTCAGCACAAAAAAAAAAAAGAAACTGTCCAGATGACCTGACTGAAAGATGTTGGATTGTATACCTGGATTATTGAGCATGGACTTTGTTGTTGATGTCCAGTTAACCAGTGAATACAGGGTGCAGTAGTGGGTACGGTAATCACAGTCAGTTATGAATCTTAGTGCACCATGATAGACAGCATCCAACATCTACAGGGTGCTTGTAGGAGCGTTCATGTAAATAATGTCACCGTAATCATGGAGGGAAGGAAGGTCACAGTTACAAGGTGTTTCCTAGCATTCAGAGTTGGACAGTATCTGTTTCTGAAAAAGAAACCCAGTTTAACTTTCAGTTTCTTTACTAGGTTTTACACATGGAGCTTAAAAGATACCCAAATATTTGTAGGAATCGACAAATTAAATGGGGACGTCATTTGAGGATAAAATCGGAGGAAGAACTGCTGAGACCGACTTCCTATTTGAAAACAGCATCCCTTTGGTTTTATCAGCATTTAAGACAAGTTTGAGGTGGAACAAATCTGACTGGATGATGTCAAATGCAGATTGCAAAAGCTGGAAAACATTAGCAACTGTTTTAGCTCGACAATAAACAACTGTGTCATCAGCATAGAAATGTATGGATGCGTCAAGGATGCTCTGACCTACATTACCTATGTAGATTGTAAAGAGGGTGGGTTCTAAGACTGAGCCTTGAGGTACACCATTGTTGACTGTTAAATAACTGGAGGAAGTACCATTATGTTGAACACATTGCCTCTGGTCTGAGAGAAGGTTAGAGAACCAACCAATGGTGTGATCTGAGAAACCAATTTCTGAGAGCTTATGACACAAGATGTTATGATCCACAGTGTCAAAAGCTTTAGACAGGTCTAAGAAAAGTGCGGCACAATAATCCTTAGCATCCAGTGCTTCAACAACATCATTAAGAACCTTCAGTTAAGCAGTCATTGTGCTGTGTTGTTTCCTGAAACCAGATTGATGGGGAGGTAAGATGTTGAATGAGTCCAGGTAATTTTTGACTTGAGAGTTTATCAGTTTTTCTAGTACCTTGGCTAAAATGCAGAGTTTAGAGATTGGCCGATAGTTGTTCAGTGAGGTGGGGTCACCTCCATTCAGCAAAGGAAGAACAAAGGCTGTTTTCCAAGCGTCTGGGATGGAGTTTTGACTTATGGAAAAATTAAAGATATGGGTCACAGGAACTGTGATGATATGAGCAGCCAGCCTTAAGAAATAAGGTGGAAGTTCATCTGGTCCTGCAGATTTTTTAGGATCAAGATCTTTTAACAGTTTATTAACCTCATTGACTGAGAACGGAGAAAAAAAGGTGTGAATAACTGAGGATTGACTTGTAGGAGCGATTTGATTTGTAGAAGTTTGATTATTAAGTGAAGTGGCTGATTTTCCATTAGTAACTGTCAAACAAAGAACTAGAAGCAACAAAATGTTTGTTGAAACAGTTCAGGATTTTGTGCTTATTAGACACAGGAACAGAGTTAATGAGAAGTTGTGATGGGAGGTCAGATGATTGGGGGGTGCCTGAGAGAGATTTGATGGTTTTCCAGAATCTGTTGGAGTCATTTAGATTTTTGGAGGTCTGAGATAAGAAGTAGTTACGTTTTGCAGCTTTGATGGCAGTTGTGCATTTATTCCTCAGCTGCCGAAAACTCAACCAATCAGTGTCTGAGTCAGATTTTCTTGCCATGGCCCAAAGCTGGTGTCTCCGTGCATGAGTGGGTTTTCTCCAGGTACTCCAGTTTCCTCCCACAGACCAAAAACATGCATGTTAGTCTGATTGGCGACTCTAAATTGTCCCTAGGTGTGAGTGAGAGCGTGAATGGTTGTTTGTCTCATTTGTCTCTATGTGTCCCTGTGATGGACTTAAGACCTGTCCAGGGTGTCCCTCACCTCTCGCAAAGTGACTACTGGACATGGGCACCAGTGACCCCCACGACCCGAAAAGGAAGAAGCGGGTAAAGATGATGGATGGATCATTGAGCACGGTGTTCCATGAAGAAAATAAATGTTTGGGTTGAATTAAAATGGTAGTTTAAAAACAAGATTTATTAAAATACTTTAAAAACTTTTCTATAAATTGTTATCTATGACAGTTGCATAATCGCAACCTAAAATATATCAACAAAAACCAAATGGTAAAAATATTAAAGATAGGGCTGACAGAGATAGTCACATTAAGTTCAGAGACTGGCATCCAGGATGTGTTCAGGGTTCCAGGCATGCATCATCAGGTAGAGACGTTTGGACAGCTCCGGGCCTACTCTGCGACTTGTGGAGGTGATGCCTTCTCCTCGACGGATCACAAGCTCAGAAAGGAGAGAAACCTTCTGGCTCTCAGTCCTGCACTGACTGTAAGCCTGTGAAAACACACACACACACAAACAAACACACAATTCTTTAGTTTGTGACAAAAAGAAGTAGCACCAACAAAAATCAGCTAGAAAACTCTCTGTGTGTGTGTGTGTGTCCTTGTTTATGCTACTTTGTGAGGCCCATTTTTCCAACTTATACTACATTGTGAGGACCAACTGCTCCTTATGGGGCCCAAAGCCCGGGCCCCATAAGAAGAAGTCCCATTGGTGGGTTACGGGCTAGGTTTAGGACTAAGGTGTGACTTGAGGATGTGTTAGGTTTAGGGTTAGGTATGTACTGGTAATGGTTAGGTTATGGATAAAGGTCATGGTTAGGCTATAGAAATGAATGAAAAATGAATGGAAGTCAATGCAAAGGCCCCACAAAGATAGCAAAACAAACCTGTGTGTGTGTGTGTGACGATCAAGGTGGAGTAGCTGCTATCTTTCAAGATTGTTGATTGATGGTAAACCAATTATTAGTTATAATCCTTATGAGTTGTTGTCCCTCAGTCTTTCTCAGTTCAGTTCAGTTGATTTATAAAGCACCAAGTCACAACAGTCGTCTCAGGCCACTGTACAAAAACATTCACATATGTACAAAACCGATTAGTAAAGTTCTCTAAGAAATCCAGCAGACAAGTTGAATCTTGGCTTTGTTGCAGTCTCTCATCTTGAAGAAGCACAGTGGCAACAGTGGAAAGGAAAAACTCCCTTTTAACAGGAAGAAACCTCCAGCAGAACCAGGCTCAGGACGAGCAGCCATCTGCTTTGACCAGCTGGTTTGAGAGGACAGGAAGGAGAGACAGACGAACACAGAATGGCAGGTCCAGATGTACCCCTGTTGGAATCATCCAGAATGGAAATCAGAACGGCCACTCTCACTAGTTGTTATATATTGTCCACCAGACCCTCTTTGTCAGGTTTGGCAGAATTTACAGATTTTGTCTGACTTATTACAAAATGCTGATAAAAACATCATAATGGGTGATTTCAATATTCATGTAGATGTTGAAAGTGATAGCTTAAGCATAGCCTTTAATAATTTAATAGTCAATTGGTTTTTACCCAAAATGTCCAAACACCTGCTCACTCTCATCATCACACTCTTGACCTGGTTCTGACTTATGGCATCAAGATTAATAACAGTCATACATCCTCAAAATCCTGTTGTGTCTGACCATTTTTAATAACCTTTGAGTTTACATTAAATGACTACACAGTCACTGAGAGGAAATTTCATATAGCAGGTGTTTATCAGAAAATGCTGTAACCAAATTTAATTAATCTCCATTGTTATTTTCCTCTGTCTTGCAGAGTAATGCATCAGAGAACAGTGACTTAGATCATCTAGTTGATAACTTTCAAACTTCTTTGTGAACTTCACTTGATAAAGCTGCACCACTGAAAAAGAAAGTAATCAGTCAGAGGGATTATAGCTCCTTGGTTCTATTCTGAGTTACGTACTTTAAAACAGACATATAAAAAGCTGGAAAGAAAACGGCTAGTTCTGGATGTCACCAGCTAACTGGTTGATCCACTATAAGAAGGAACTATTTATAAGACTGAGTTTGTTGCAGCTCCTCTGACTGGCCAAGTCTTTTGGATAAAGATGAAACGTTTCAACAAGAAGAATCTGTCCAGAGGACCTGACCAATAATAGACCTATAGCTAATCTAACTTTCACCTAAAAAATTCTAGAGAAAATAGTTGCAGGTCAGTTATGTGAAAAGTCTTCAGCTGATCCAAAATGTTGCTGCCAGTCTTAACTGGAGTTAGTAGGAGAGATCATATCTCTCCAGTTTTAGCTTCTTTCCATTGGCTCCCTGTCAAATCCAGAATAGAATTCAAAATCTTACTTCTAACCTACAAAGCCCTCAACAACCTAGATCCATCTTACAAACTGGATTCCAAAAAAGTTGGGACACTAAACAAATTGTGAATAAAAACTGAATGCAATGATGTGGAGATGGCAAATGTCAATATTTTATTCGTAATATAACATAGATGACAGATCAAAAGTTTAATCTGAGTAAATGTAACATTTTAAAGGAAAAATATGTTGATTCAAAATTTCACAGTGTCAACAAATCCCAAAAAAGTTGGGACAAGTAGCAATAAGTGGCTGGAAAAAGGAAATTGAGCATATAACGAATAGCTGAAAGACCAATTAACACTAATTAGGTCAATTGACAACATGATTGGGCATAAAAAGAGCTTCTCAGAGTGTCAGTGTCTCTCAGAAGCCAAGATGGTAAGAGGATCACCAATTCCACCATTGTTGCGCAGAAAGATAGTGCAGCAATACCAGAATGGTGTTACCCAGTGTAAAATAGCAAAGACTTTTAAGTTATCATCATCAACCGTGCATAACATCATCAAAAGATTCAGAGAATCTGGAACAATTGCTGTGCGTAAGGGTCAAGGCCGTAAAACTTTACTGGATGCTCGTGATCTCCGGGCCCTTAAACGTCACTGCACCTCAAACAGGAATGCCACTGTCAAGGAAATAACAGAATAGGCTCAGGAATACTTCCAGAAAGCATTGTCAGTGAACACAATCCACCGTGCCATCCGCCGTTGCCAGCTGAAACTCTACAGTGCAAAGAGGAAGCCATTTCTTTTTTTTTCCCCTTGTCCTGTTCGGCATTGTGACACTTAGAATTATTGTCTGAGTGTCAAAGTGATGCCCAACAGATTTACTTTCACAAGCAGAGCATTATGGCTGGCCTCAATGCTCCATTTGATATATAAATTAAATTTTATTAGAATATGCTTTGGGTTTGTTCCAGATGTAATGGACACGGGGACGGAAAACAAATAAGATAACAAAGCAGAAAAGTGAAAGAAGAGTTAAAATGTGAAGAATGAGATAGGAATAGAGGAGAGAGAGGGGGATAAAAAGAACACAAATCAACATCATTGAAGTCTGCCTCTAGACCTGCTGAAAGAAAAAAAACCCGACAAAACCGAGAAACCACAACAACAAACAACATTTATAATGATACTTATAACATCATTAGAAAGTATTTTATATAGTACGTGGTAATACAATATATATTTGATGGCCACCACAACCCAACTGAGTGTGTATCTGATAAACACCTGAATCTAAACACCTGTGTGAGCATGCTTATCACTATAAGGTTTCTCCATAAAAATGTTCACTAGTGGATGTGGGGACCCATAAACCCGTCCCCACAGGACACGAAGGTAACACAGGGAAGACCAGAACCACAGACACACAGCGGTCCCCAAGCCCGGAACTGCGGGAGTCCCCCAACAGGGACACCCGCACCCCCCAGAGAGAGAAGCAAAGGGAAGCCCCGGGCGATCCCCAGCAACCACAATGCAGAAACCCCCAGGAGGCTGTAGCGACGAGTCAACAGGCCCCACCGGCAACCCGCCCCGCCAGAGTGGATCCGGCCATGGACACCAAACCCCGAGTCCCGAGGTCATACCACCCCCCAACAGAGGCCCAACAGAGCCAGGGCACCCAGGCCCCCACAGGCAGCCACCAGGGCGGGCCCACACACACCCCACCACCCCTCCCCAGCTGCTGAGAGCCGCCAATGCACCGGCAGCAGGGGGGCCCACCACCGGAGGGGAGCACGACACACCAAATGGGGGGCCAAAACTGATCCAAGAGAGGGGGGCCACCTAAAACCCAACCTGAGACAAACAGGCACACAGAGACAGCCCGACAGAGCCTCTGTCGGGCCGTCCATGCGTCCCACCCGCCCAACAGTGACCGCAAGCCGGCCCCAGGCCGGGGGCCAGAGCAGCACAGAGCAGCAGCTGAGGAAGGCCGGCCCAGCGCACCAATGCATCCCTAAACCCCCACACCACAGGCCTGGAGAAGCCCCGGCATGCCACCCATGCACCCCCCCCACACACAGCACCCCCCACCGTGAAAGTCACATCAGGCCAACCAGCCAGCACCCTGTCAAAATGAAGCCATGCCCCCGACCGCTGCCACACACTACCAACGAACACACAACCACAGCCGACCTCTGCCAGAACCCGGCAGCCACCCCAGCCAAAGGGCTGGCCATCAGAGCCAGGAACCCCAATCAAAAGATCCAAACAATCCAGGGAGAACCGGAGCACCAGCCCCACCACCACCCCCAATCGCCCACAAAGGCCCAATGATGTGGAGGTGCCAACATCTAATATTTTATTCAGAATAGAACACAGATCAAAAGTTTAAACTGAGAGAATGTATCATTTTAAGGGAAAAATCTGTTGTTTCCAAATTTCATGGCGTCAACAAATCACAAAAAAGTTGGGACAAGTCCATTTTTACCACTGTGTGGCACCCCCCATTCTTCTTACAACACTCAACAGACGTCTGGGGACAGAGGAGACTAGTTTCTCAAGTTTAGAAGTAGGAATGCTCTCCCATTCATGTCTAATACTAATAATTTTTTCCAAGATGGCGCCGGTGTGTAGGGCTGCCTGTCTCTCGCTCTCTGCTTGTATTGTATTTTTGTTATTTTTACAGTGATTGGTGCAGTGTGCCGAGTCATATTTTCAGTATGATTGTCGGGCACTTTTGGAGCTCCGTACATTTGCTGAAATTCCTGCGGAGTTTTGGTACAGCGGTCAGCACTCTCCTCCACCGGTCCTGTCTGAGATTCCTGCATTCCTTCTGCGTGACCCTGGCCTTTCTCCATGGAGGAAACATCGCAGACGTCGTGGGAAGCGTGCAGGGATTTTGGTGAAACCGAGGCAAAGTGTGGATTATTCTATCAGGACTCGCTCTGGATCTGATCATCTCCTCTCTGACCCGTGGTGCTCCCGGGGCCCGGCTGCTGGCCAGCTGCCCGCGCGCTCAGTCCATGTAAACACCTGGAGTTGTTTACCTGTGCGCCGCACCAGCAGACCTGGAGGAGCTGTTCTTCATAACCTGCGCCCGCTGGCACGCGCTTCTCCTTCCACGGCTGTGTCTGCGTTGGACCCTATCAGGATGTGTTTAATCAATGCAAGGTCTGTTTCCAACAAGATGTTTATCCTCAATGACTTTTTTAAAGATGAGGAGTTGGATTTTCTGTTCGTCACGGAATCTTGGATTTCTGATGGTGAGTCCAGCGCCTTGGTGGAATTACTACCCCCAGACTGTCTGTGTTTCAATGCCATCAGGTCGGCGCGGAGGGGGGGGGGGGGATTATTAACAGTTTTTAAAGCAAACTTGGCCTGTAAACAGTTGTCCATCCCGGTGTCCCGCGTCAGCTTTGAGCTAAGCGTCTTTGAACTCGGACACTCTCCTCCGGTTCTATGCGCACTCGTCTACCGCCCCCCCTCGATCCAAGGACTTCATAAATGAATTCTCTGACTTTTTGGCTGATATCACACAGAGATACACTCACTTTTTGTTTATTGGTGACTTTAATTTGCATGTGTGTTGTCAGGAGAAGCCCTTAGTGAAGGACTTTCTAGATTTATTGGACTCTTTTGATTTAACTCAGCAGGTAAACGGCCCCACCCAAGAACACGGTCACACGCTGGACCTCATTTTAACATGCGATGTCTCTGTTTCTAATTTGAAAATCGGTGACAATGTTTTTTCAGATCACATGCCTGTATTGTTTGAATTCACCCCCACCCCTTGTCCTACTGCTAAGACGTGCGTTCCTGCACGTACTACTCGTTCGATTAACCATTTCACTGCTGCTCGTTTTAATGAAGGTTTTAACTCTGAGAGGATCGAACAGCTCTCGGTGTCTCTTACCACTGAGGAGCTAACCTCTCAGTTCAACTCTGCCTGTTTAGATGTTCCGTGTTGCTCCCCTTAAAACCAGAAAAACGAAACACGAAACTTAGATCAGAGCCTTGGCTGAATGACGTCACTCGAGCCGTTAGGCAGCAGTGTCGCAGAGCTGAACGAAGGTGGAGGAAGGACAGGCTGCAGGTTTCTTTTCAAATGTTAAGGGAGAGTTGGCATCACTATCAGAAAACCGTTAAAACTGCCAAATGTAAATTCTTCTCTGATTTAATTGTCTCCAACTCCCACAACCCCCGAGTTCTTTACTCCACCCTGAACTCAGTTCTACACCTCAGTGAGCCTTCACCTCTGGAAGCCTCAACTGAGCTGTATGAAAACTTCCTCCATTTCTTTTTAGAAAAAGTGGCAAACACCCAGGCACTCATTTCTCCACCAGCTCATGATCTGTCCATCCCATCTCAGTGTGTGGCTGTGTTTGACCACTTTGAGCCCATCTCTCTGTCTTCTCTGAAGCAGGTAATGTGCAGCATGAAGCCATCTGGTTCCCCCTTTGATGTGGTCCCCCCTCGACTACTAAAGGAAGTTTTTCCTACCCTGGGTCCTTTTATTCTCGCTATTCTGAATAGCAGTTTATCCTCAGGTGTGGTGCCAAAAACTTTTAAACATGCTGCTGTCCAGCCCCTCCTGAAAAAACCTAACCTTGACCCCTCAGTCATGTCCAACTTCCGGCCTGTCTCCAGACTCCCATTCACCTCTAAACTACTGGAAAAAATTGTGGAGTCTCAGTTGAAACAGTTTTTGGGGGATCACGCTATCCTAGAGTTATTCCAATCTAGCTTCAAATCTCTCCATAGCACTGAAACTGCCCTACTGAAGGTTTTTAATGACATTTTCATATCCACAGACACAGGTGATTATGTGCTGCTTGTCCTATTGGACCTTACATCTGCTTTTGACACCATCGACCATAAGATCCTCATTTCTAGACTGGAGCAGTGGGTGGGCATCACAGGGTCAGCCCTTAAATGGTTTGGGTCCTACCTCTCTGACAGAACCTTCTGTGTCAATATCAAAGATTTTAGTTTGGCATCGACAGCGCTCCAGTGGGGGGTACCGCAGGGGTCCATCCTTGGTCCCCTTCTCTTTTCTTTATACCTGCTGCCACTAGGTGCTATTTTCCGCAAACACAACATACCCTTTCATTTCTACGCCAATGATTGCCAAATTTACTTCCCCCTGAGGCACAGAGGCACACGCTCTATTCAGCCTCTTCTTGACTGCCTGGCTTACATCCGGGACTGGATGGCTTTAAACTTCTTAAGCTTCAATGAGAAGAAGTCTGAAGTCATGCTGTTCCATCCCAGTGGCTCACTCATGAACCATGACATTGACCTTTTCTCTCTAGCCCCGCTAGAGAAACAAAAGGTCACTAATCTGGGGGTGATAATGGACCCGTCCTTAAAACTCAACAGTCACGTAAACATGATGGTAAAATCGTGTTTTTTTCAGCTGAGACGGCTGTCTAAGCTGAAGGCTATACTCTCCAAAAAGAACCTTGAGACAGTGATCCACGCCTTCATAACATCTAGGCAATTCACTTGTGTTTGGAATCAGTCAGTCCTCCATTGCACGTCTACAACTGGTCCAAAATGCTGCAGCCCGATTTTTAACTGGTACAGGCTATAGAGAGCACATCACGCCAGTTTTGGCCTCCCTGCACTGGCTACCCATTCACCTTCGGATCCAATTCAAAATTCTCATGTATGTTTTTAAATCACTGAACAGCTCCGCCCCATCCTATCTCACTGATCTTCTGCAGCCATATGTCCCACCGCGCTCTCTGATGTCAGCAGACCAGATGCTTCTCTCAGTCCCAGAAACCCGTCGTAAGCTCAGAGGTGACAGGGCTTTCTCTGTTGCAGGTCCACGACTGTGGAATGAGTTGCCACTGAGTGTCTGGCAGGCTCCCACACTCTCAGTCTTTAAGTCTCGCTTGAAGACCCACTTCTATTCTCTTGCCTTTAATACGGTGTGATTTGTTTGGTCCTGTCTGTACTCTACACTGTTGGCCATTTTAGTTAGCTTCTGCTGCTATTTGTATCTGTATTTTTATTTTATGTTTTCCTGTCCACTGTGCATGTTTGTTTTCTTTTGTACAGCACTTTTGTTGGCCTTGTTGCTGTTTTAAGTGCTCTATAAATAAATTGGTATGGTATGGTAATACAGGCCTCTAACTGTTCAATCGTATTGGGCCTTCTTTGTCGCACCTTCCTCTTTATGATGCGCCAAATGTTCTCTATAGGTGAAAGATCTGGACTGCAGGTTGGCCATTTCAGTACCCGGATCCTTCTCCTATGTAGCCATGATGTTGTGATTGCTGCAGAATGTTGTCTGGCATTATCGTGTTGAAAAATGCAGGGTCTTCCCTGAAAGAGATGACGTCTAGATGGGAGCATATGTTGTTCTAGAACCTGAACATAGTTATCTGCATTAATGGTGCCTTTCCAGACATGCAAGCTGCCCATGCCACAAGCGCTCATGCAACCCCATACCATCAGTGATGCAGGCTTCTGAACGGAGTGTTGATAACAACTTGGGCTATCCTTGTCCTCTCTGGTCCAGATGACATGGCCTCCCAGTGTTCCATAAAGAACTTCAAATCTTGACTCATCTGACCACAGAACAGTCTTCCATTTTGCCACAATCCATTTTAAATGACCCCTGGCCCAGTGCAAACGTCTGAACTTGAGGAGCTTGCTTAGAAATGGCTTCCTCTTTGCACTGTAGAGTTTCAGCTGGCAACGGCAGATGGCACGGTGGATTGTGTTCACTGACAATGCTTTCTGGAAGTATTCCCGAGCCCATTCTGTTATTTCCTTGACAGTGGCATTTCTGTTTGAGGTGCAGTGATGTTTAACGGCCCGAAGATCACGAGCATCCAGTAGAGTTTTACGGCCTTGACCCTTACGCACAGCGATTGTTCCAGATTCTCTGAATCTTTTGATGATGTTATGCACGGTTGATGATGATAACTTAAAAGTCTTTGTTATTTTACTCTGGGTAACACCATTCTGGTATTGCTGCACTATCTTTCTGCGCAACAATGGTGGAATTGGTGATCCTCTTACCATCTTGGCTTCTGAGAGACACTGACACTCTGAGAAGCTCTTTTTATACCCAATCATGTTGTTAATTGACCTAATTAGTGTTAATTGGTTTTCCAGCTGTTCATTGTATGCTCAATTTCCTTTTTCCAGCCACTTATTGCTACTTGTCCCAACTTTTTTGGGATTTGTTGACACTGTGAAATTTTGAATCAACATATTTTTCCTTTAAAATATTACATTTACTCAGATTAAACTTTTGATCTGTCATCTATGTTATATTACGAATAAAATATTGACATTTGCCAACTCCACATCATTGCATTCAGTTTTTATTCACAATTTGTTTAGTGTCCCAACTTTTTTGGAATCCGGTTTGTAACAATATCAACTTAAAACTGATGACAGACAACATGGGGAGGTTACGTAGTACTAAAAACTGACTTATTGAAGTGGGGCATGGTCATGGTAGTTAAGTTACCACATCTCACTATGATACGAATTATTGGTGTAACTTCCATATTTCATTCAATCTAAAACAAAATGCAGAAAAAATTTTGTCCAGAAATTTATGCGCATGCACAAATTATGGGGGTGTATCAAAATAAATGAGCAGTGCCTCAGAGAAGATTTCAGACAATCATTTTCTAAACCTTTACTTTCATGCACAAATATGAAACTACACTTATGAGTCTCTACTCTTTATAAGTAGGCAAACTTTGAAAGTCTGCAGAGGGTGAAGTAATTATTTCCATATTGTTTTCTCTATAATGTTAATCAAGTGAACAGAAGAGAAAACAGGACCAGTGACCTGTGAATGTGTGAGCAGAATACACACCTTCCTGAGCAGCTGGGGCGAGGGATAAGCTGCCAGGACAGCAGCAGCCATGTCTGGACTGACTCTGTTGAGCTGCTGAATCTGTCTCTTCCACACCTGCAGCAAACCTTTACCAGCTCTATCGACCCGCTGGCCACCCGCCCACTCACTCTCCAGGCAGAAGGAGAAGCCGGTCTTGTCTCGCTCCCTCCTGAACACAGAGAACTGTGAGGAACAACTCTGCTTTGACAGGTGCCATGTTCAGCGGAGGCCTCAGGATGCTCACTTGAAAGGTGCCTCCGCAACTGCTTTGGTTGTCATAGCAACGTAATCTGAGAACTCTTTCCACGTTGATAAGAAATGGACCGAGACATTGGTGTGAAGCTGGAGGTGCACCAGTGCCTGATGGGATCAAAAACAGAACAAGTTAAATACCCCGCTCCACATTCACCTCTAATTTAAAACAAACTTCATCATGGTGGTTTTTGTAGGCAGGTATAAATGAAGCATAAAGATGGAGCCAGGACCCTTAAAGGAAGCCTTTATTATGAAAATCTGAATTTTAAATGAAACACCTTGACCTATAAGAACCCAGTTTCCTGTTGTCATCTTGTTTTAACGTTAGTGTTTATATACATTATATATTGTTACATTATACATTGTTATGCTGATGACACACAATTATATTTGTCCATTAAACCCAATGAATCCAAGCAGCTACTTAGACTAGAAGCATGTCTTAAAGACAAAAACCTGGATGACCCTTAATTTTCTCCTTTTGAACACAAACAAGACTGAGGTTTTGGTTTTTGGACCTGAGCACCTTAGCAATGAATTTTCCAGTCTTTCTCCCTCCTTAGATGGCATTAATCTGTCCTCCAGCTCTAATGTTAAAAATATTGGTGTTATTTTTGATCAGGACATGTCTTTTATCCCCCACATTAAGAACCTTACTAGAACCACCTGCTAAATTGCTAAACCGCTATCACTAAAATTAGAAACATCTTATCTAAAAATGATGCAGAAAAACTGGTCCATGCATTTGTCACGTCTAGACTGGACTATTGTAATGGTTTATTATCTGGGTGTCCAAATACTTCTTTAAAATGTCTTCAGTTGATCCAAAATGCTGCTGCCAGAGTCTTAACTGGAGTTAGTGGGAGAGATCATATCTCTCCAGTTTTAGTTTCTCTCCATTGGCTCCCTGTCAAATCCAGAATAGAATTCAAAATCTTACTTTTAACCTACAAAGCTCTCAACAACCTGGCTCCATCTTATATTACAGATCTTATTGTTCCATATTTTCCTAACAGAGCACTTCGCTCTCAGGCTGCAGGTTTACTTGTGGTTCCTAGAATTTACAAAAACAGAATGGGAGGCAGATCTTTCAGTTATCAGGCTCCTCTCTTGTGGAACCAACTTCCAATCTATGTCCGTGAGGCTGACACATTATCCAGTTTTAAAACTAGGCTTAAGACTTTTTTTGCTAAATCCTTTAAAAAGGGAGTTTTTCCTTTCCACTGTTGCCACTGTGCTTGCTCAAGATGGGAGACTGCAACGAAGCCAAGATTCAACTTGTCTGCTGGCCTCCTTAGATAGAGAACTTTACTAATTGGCTTTTATGTATGTGAATGTTTCTGTAAAGTGCCCTGAGACAACTTTGTGATTTGGCGCTATATAAATAAACTGAATTTAATTTAATTTATTGCCAGCCACCTAAAAAACGAAGGTGGACGATAACGTTTTTACCCATGTCTGTCTGACTGCTTGTTTCTCTGTCTGTTAGCAAAATAACTCATGAACTGGACAAATTTTAATGGTAAATTAAAGCTGCAAGCAGCATTGGTGGCCCTCGCAGCAAAGCACTGCTCCGGCCTTACGGTGACCACGGGAGCTCCAGCTTGGGCGGCTGTGGCTGAGTGGTTAGAGCAGTCGTCCTCCAATGCGAGAGTTGGGGGTTCGAATCCACCAGCAGTCACATGTCGAAGTGTCCCTGGGCAAGACACTGAACCCCTCATAGCCTCTGATGTGTGTCCCATCGGTGTATGAATGTGATAAAGCTCTGATTAGTCTCTTTAGAATGATTTGTTCAATTAGCTTTGTAGAGATCTAGTAGAGTGCTGTATGAACGGGTAAATGAGGATACAGATTGTAGTGTAAAGTGCTTTGAGTATCTTGAAATAAGATAGAAAGGCACTATATAAATACAGTACAGTCCATTTAGTCCACCCAGTCGCCATCGCGAATGCTCTTGTGCCAATCCCACAAGCGTTCACCACGGGGTCCATTTCCCAAATCTTCGACATCGCCTTCCGTCCATTTTGTTACTTGTCCACCTGCAGGGTTTACAAGTATAGGCCAAATCTGACCTTCCAGACAGGACTTATGGTGACTTCCTGTTTTGTTGCAAATGTTTGACAAGCTCTTCCTTTATGCTTTTCAACATGTCATGTGTGGTAATCAACAGTTAGCGAACAAAATTTCAGTCTAATATCTTATACAGTGTGAAGCTGGACGTGTCGTCCAATAATCGACAGTTTTTTCTCTGAGTAGGTGGGGCTTAAGTGATGTCATGAATCAACAATACCAATATGTCTACAAGTGCTCACTGATGAAGCACTAGATCTGATGATATGTCACTGAGATATAACTTATTAAATAATCTGGGCGCGCACTTGAGTCATATGTTAAACCACAATATCAATGTGTTTAGATGTGCTCACTGATTCTGCATGAAAAATATGGTTTCGATCGGATGATGTATTACTGAGATATAACTTTTGGAATAATGTAGGGGGGCGCAATAGAGTCATATGTTAAACCACGATATCAATGTGTCTAAAAGTCGTCACTGATGACGCACAATAAATCTGGTCCAGATCGGATGTTGTATCACTGAGCTATAATTGTAGGAAAAATGTAGGTGGTGCTGTGGAGGTTATTGGCCAATTATCATGGATTCTGTTGAAGGGGTGGATGACAATCGATCATAGTGATTTTTGTGCACCTTAGCTTAAATCTGTGCAATTTAGAGTCAAACATTTTAATGGCGTCACTTCTGAATTCGCCACGCCACCATGCCCACATCCTCCAGCAAAAATGGTTTGTGCTTATAAAGCAAGTCAGACCAACTTGTTAAATGTCTTCTAACACAGGATCAGCCTGATTAGGTCAAGGATGTCAGAGAGGAAGCATTCCAAGCAAAACAAGTGACTTCCTGTTCTGAGGGGGTGGGGTTTTGATGACGTCAGAATATGACCACAGATGATCGTCGGACATCGGACAGGGATGACTCATGCCAAGTTTGGTGCATTTCGGTCTTTCAATGTGATAGTTGTAGCGTTTGAAAATTTATTGCGTGAAACTCAACTTTGAGGCCTGGCCATGCCCCTTTCGAAAATGCAAGCTTTTGATAACTTTTACTCCCCAGTGTGTTAAGGGCATATTAACCAAGTTTGAAGGCATTCCATCAAAATCCCTAGGATGCGTTCGTTAAAATGTGCCATTAGAAACGCCCAAAATTGACTCTTTGACCCAAAATGGCCAACTTCTTGTGTTTGGACCAGGGCTCCAAGAGACTTTTTCATAGGTCTTGACAAGATACAGATGTTCACCGAGTTTCAGAATTATCGGTCCAAAAATGGCTTGGGGTTGAGGTTTTAAAATGTTCTAGGGGGCGCTGTTGAGGCTATTGTCCACTTATCATGGCTTCCTGGTCAAGAGGTGGATAAGGATCGATCATACTGATTTTTGTGCAACTCGGTTCAAAACTGTGGAATTTAGAGCCAAACGTATGGCGACGGCGTTACGTCTTACTTCGCCACGCTGCGCCGCCAACATGCTCCACCCAAAACTGTCAGTGTTGGAAAGCAAGTTACACCAACATGTCTTCAGTCATTGGACACACTATCATGCTGATCAGGTAACAGAGGTCAGATAGGGATTGTTCAACGTAAAACTGTATACATCCTGTTGTCAGGGGGCATGGCTTAAGTGATGTCATGATTTGGCCATTCAGTCTTGTAGGGGACCGGATGTGGATTAATCACTGAAGTTTGATGTCTCAGGCAGTTTTCGTGTAGGAGCTATTATTTCGTTTTTCATGGCGAGATGTCAAACTTTGAGGTCTGGCCCCGCCCCTTCAGCATGCTCTGAAACGAATCATTTAGATAACTTTGCGTCCCCCATGCCTTTTGACCAAAATGGCCAAGTTTGAAACCGATTGAGCAAAATCCCTAGGAGGAGTTCGTTCAAATGCGGAGGCTGTAAACCGCCAAAAAGGTGTGAAAATTGGGCCGGTATTCCAAAATGGCCACCTTCCTGTTTATCGTACAACGTTGGTGCCAGAGGGTTTTCTGTGCATCTTGGGGAATTTGACAAGCGTACCAAATTTCATATTTCTACGACAAACTAAAGTTAATGCGGAGGGTATTTTGAAATTTTCTAGGTGGCGCTCTTGAGCCGCTTCTGTTGCGATTTTTGCCACGCCTTTAAAACACATAATTTTTCACTAGTCCTGATGTGTCCGCCAAATTTGGTGACGTTTGGGATATGTTAAGGCCCCAAAATGACAAATCATTTGGCGGAAAAAATTGCAGCTCGGGCCTGAACAGAGCGATTACAATAGGCTTTCGCAGCGCTTCGCTGCTCGGGCCTAATTAAGTGTATTTATATATTGCCTTTCCAGCCAACCAAGCAACTCAGAGCACTTTACAACCCGATGTGTGCCCTCATTTAACCATCCACACACATACATGCAGCACCCTGCCACATTACTACAAAGGTAATCAATCAAAAGTAATCATTGGACCTACTTCCACAATTGATTAACCATTGGTGTAAACATGATTCAAGATGTCTGCTACAGTCATATGACACTCAACTGGATTCTGCAGAAATTAACCAAACTGCATGTTTTTATACCAACTCATAGACATTTTTACATTTTTAAAGCTATTGACAATGAATACATAAACGTATATTTTTTCTTACATGCCGTTTCAATGCCCCTTTTAGTGGCATTGAAAATGAAAGCATAAACTATTAGTTTTGTTTTATAGAAGATTAAGTTGTGTGCCTTAGTTTACAAGCTTTTCTTTTCAATTAAAATGTATTTAAACAAGCATCACAGAACCAAAAGTGGCGTGGAGCGCCCCCACGTGTGTGTGATTCCAACTATATACTGTCATTTGGCTGATGCATATTTGATGAAGTACAATATGGAGAAAGGAAAAGGATAGAATGCAGAGAGAGACCATGAATCCTTACCTTGACTTAGATAATGTCCATCAAAAGGAAGTTAGCAGAAAAATCATGTCCAAACTGTGAAATTCTGGACAGGAGCAGTAACAGGACATGGATTACTGCCCCAGGTGTCAGCACTAAATGTAACTGATTTCTTTGGTGCAAACACCAGTTGAATCTGTGCAAAAGCACAAAAATCAACACTTTAGGAGACAGTTCCTCCCCAGGTTCTTCCCAAAGATCCAGTCCCCCGCCACAGAGTAATATTAGATAATATCAAAACCAGGGGTGGAAGTAATGATTTACAAATACTCACATTACTGTAATTAAGTATTTCTTTCAAGTGTGTAATTTTACTCATACTTAAGTACAATTTAGACCATGTAATCTGCTTCACTACTTTTAAAATCAGAAGTTGCCACTGAGTACAGCTGCAATTTGAATTAATATTCAAACCATTCATCTTTGTAGCCAACAAGGCTCTGAGATCACAAACACTCCAGTTACCTATGATGTAATCAAAGGACAACTCTGTAGAGTGGAGGCATTTATGGACCGAAGTGTTGGAGAAAAAGCCAAAATGGAGACAGAGGACAACATCAGAGAAAATGATGAGGTAAAGGCTGAGGACGAGTGCCCGTGGCCATACCTGGAGGAATGTTTCATGTACAGAGGGTGAAAAGGAGACAGAGTCCAGATGCAAACTTTGTTTGATCTCTACAGTGACAACAGCTTACAAGACTTTGGCATCTAATCTCAAAAAACTTATTGCGGAATACGAGGTTTTACAGCTACCTGTATGATATTTTTTATTGTTTGTATGTGTGGGTTATTAGTTTGGCTAAGTATGCAAAGATCTTAGATACTGTCACTGCCATTGGTTTGCCTGGTACTAAAATAAGACGGAGCTTCTGAGAAATGTACTTTGAATGTAGTTATTATTGTTTACAGTAAATCAAACTGAATGTCTTCTCTTGACAACACAATAAAACATCAAGTGGTTAAAATGTAATTAATACTCTGAGTAGTTTTTGAGAAGAGTACTTTGTACTTTAACTTAAGTATTTTTATGACACCAGCACTTTTACTTGTAATTGAGTACAATTTAAGCTGTGTAACGGTACTTGTACTTGAGTACAAATTTTCAGTACTCTTTCCACCTCTGATCAAAACTGAGGTGGGCTGGTACCGAACACACTTATGGACCACCATATGCTCGAACATGGTGTTTGTTATGGACAGCCCATGCCTAGCACAAAAGTCCAGCACCATTCAGGTTCAGATCAGGGAGGCTGCTCCTCCCAGTCACCCCCTTCCAGATAACTCTGTCATTACCAGCATTGAAGTCACCCAGTAAAATAAAAGAATCCCTAGACCACACTCCTTCCAGGACACCTTCCAAGCAAACCTGGGCCTTTAGGGCCACCTGCATGTTTTACTTGTGTCCATTGTGTCAACACACCTGATGGTTGAATTACCTCCTCATGTCATGTAGAATACTGTTAATATCACATTAATTTACTGTAAATCAAGTGTGTTGGAGCAGGTAAACATCTAAAACAGGGATACAGAGATATTGGATTTTTGGCCGATATCCGATATCAATATTTTTTTCCTAGACATACGGAGACTACATAACTTTCTCTGCTGTGGAATTAAAATATTACATTATTCTGCATGGTCGTTGTCAGTTTGGCCTGCTACCAAATGCAAATGCCAAAAAGGGGACTGAAAATGATGCAACACTTCAACTTGACTTATGTATATTTGGATATAGTTGGATATTATTTTAATGCTAATATCGGCCAATACCAATACCATGCCAATATTGTGCATCCCTAATCTAAAACATGCAGGATAGTGTCCCTTGAGGATCAGGATTGGACATCCCTGATCAAGAGATTCTAAAGCCGGGTAATCTGCACGGCTGTTTGGCGCATAAGCACAAACAACAGTCATAGTCAGAACCTCCTGCAGCCCAAAGGCCACAGAGAGGAAACCCTCATGTTCTCCAGGGAAAACTCCTACTACACCAAAGCATTCAGTCAGAGGCTTGTGAGTATCTTCACTCCCACTTAGCACCTCTTACTGCAGAGTAGGAAAGAGTTGGGCTGTTTTATGTTCCTGAGCCAAAGCTGTGTGTAGAGGTGAATCCAACTACATCTAGTTAGTATTGCTCAGCCTCACATACAAGCTCTGGCTCCTTATCCAACAACGAAGTGAAGTATACTTGAAGAATACTTGAAGAGTACTTGAAGAATACTCAATTTGAGATACGGTAAGTGTTTTTCTGGACAGGGATTAAACAGGGTATGCAAATAAACCTTAATGTTTTTGGTGCAGGATATTCAAGTGAGTAGGAATTACACTGTGTATAAAACAAAAGATGCATCCAAGATGCAATTGTGGAGCTAGAGGGTGTCCAATGGTGGCCTTGGCCACAATGGATTAATCTTTGTCCACCCCAATCATTTATTACTTTTAAGCAATATAAAAACTGTAAAGCATAGTTTTCTCAAATGACTGGGATGTCTAGTTTACATATAAATATATATGATGATGTCCATTTTGGATTTTGACATGGCAATCCAATTTTCATTTGTGACTTTTCTTAAGCAGCGACACACTCAAATGGAATTCGACACATTGCTTATTTTTTAAGTTTCCATCTTACAAGGTTTGCATATATACATGCTGTATATGGCAGCAGGCATTTTGGATTTGTCATGGCCATACAATTTTCAGTAGTAACCTTTATTACACCTAGATGCAGACACACTACAATGGAAGTCAGTACCTCACTTATTTTTCAAGGTCTCATACTCACAAGATGGACGGATGGGCAGAAGATATTTCCAAATACCCTCTTTGCTCCACGACTGGGGACAACTACCAGTGATTTTATTATTAAAGTAGATTTTCTTTATAGAGAACAAATGCCTAATGTTTTTTACTTTATACTTCACTTTTCTTTTGTAAATTATGACGACTGCTGAACAATATATTTAACACCTACCTCCTCTACATCAACTCTGGAAACCTCAGGTAACAACTCGACACCATCTTTCTTGTGTTTTTTCTTTGGTTTTCCTCCCTTTGTCTCCTCCCCTTCAACAGACTCTCTGAACATCTTATGGTTTTTAGACTTCTTCACTCTGGAAACAAAAGAAAAAACTTTGTTCTTTGATGAGCTCCAGTACACACACAGTCAAATCAACATGGTCGTATAATGATTTCACAGCAGCCTATTTGACTTAAAGGGAGAAAACGCAGGTGACTGAACAACAAAGTCACAACAGAAGTCATCTCAGGGCACTGAACAGAAACATTCACATACATAAAAAGTAAGTTAATTACATTATTTATCTGACTTATCTTATTATTTATGTTTATATTATTTATCTGAGGAGCAGATGCTTTGAGTTTAACTCCATCACAGAACTCTCATCTTGAGCAAGCATGAAGGCGACAGTGAAAAGGAAAAAACTCCCTCATGAGGAAGAAACCTTTAGCAGAACCAGGCTCAGGACAAGCGACCATCTGCTTCAACCGGCTGGGTTTGGTAGGAACAGATACACAATGTCAGGTCAAACATAAAATGTTAAGACAGAAAGAGTATCAAATGAAAACTATTCAAGTTTAACAGTTCATTTAAGGAAATGAGTTCAATTTGTCCTCCAGTAGTTTAAGCCTATAGCAGTATACCAAGCCAACCCTTACTATAGGATTTATCAAAAAGGAAATTCTTAAGCCCAGTCTAAAAACTGGATAATGTGTCAGCCTCACAGACAGAGACTGGAAGTTGGTTCCACAAGAGAGGAGCCTGATAACTGAAAGATCTTCCTCCCATTCTGCTTTTGGAAACTCTAGGAACCACAAGTAAGCCTGTAGTCTGACCCAAAGTGCTCTGTTAGGAAAATATGGAACAATAAGATCTGTAATATAAGATGGAGCTAAGATGTTGAGAGCATTGTAGGTTAGAAGTAAGATTTTGAATTCTATTCTGAATTCAACAGGGAGCCAACGTACTCAAATATTATAGTATGTCAGGCAAATTTCTATGTACAGTATAGGTACAGAAAAGTTCTCAGAAACGAGCAGTACACCGATGTCACCCATCTTTGAAGGATTTAAATAGTGAATGTAATTTTTGAGATGAGTGTTTTTCTGTGCTGGAAATGAACAGGAAATGCAAATAAACTAATGTTTCTGATGCAAAATATTCACGTTTGTAGGAGTTACTCTGTGGAGAAGAAGAGAAGTACCTTAGTTATTTTTTGCTTGCCCGAGGTGGTGCAGTAATGAATCCTGACAAGTGGAGGGAGCAATTTTATCCACCACCAGGTACAATGGCAGAGCCAGGGGCGGCCAATGGTGGTCTTGACCACAATAGATTAATCTTTGGCCACCCTAATCATTTACTACTTTTAAGCAATATAAAAACTAGAAATCATAGTTTCCTGTTTCCTCAAATGAATGGGGTGGACAGTTTACGTGGCAACCCAACTTTTAAAATAATAAATAAATATAAACTTTACTGTCATTCCAAATTGTACAGTGCACCATGCAAAACTGAACAAATTTAATTTCATTTCTCTGCAGCAGTGTAGGAGTACATCATTTACATGTATTGCATGTACAGGAACCTTTCTTACGACTAGATGTAGCCACACACCAAAATGGAAGTCAGTACTTCACTTATTTTTTCAAGTTATGCTCACAACATACAAGGACAGAGAGTGTTTCCAATTACCTGTTCTCTTCATGACGGGGGACAAAAAGCTATAACTTACTCAGTTTTTATTGATATTGAGCTAAAATATTGTGGTAGTGGCTGAGGGTCATTCACAACACAATCTATGAGTGCTAACAGATCTGGCAACACCATATGAGATCGTGAATAACATTATTTTCAAACGCTGATCAAGAAAGCAACAACTATGTCTCTTTTTAGCTTTTTTTTTTGCTGAACACTTTCATGAAAGGTGGTGGGAATATGCATTCCTTTCAGGATTTCTAGGCCTTTAATTGACTGAGTTTTATATGAGTGAAAAAGTATGACAGGACCAAACGTTTGTAAAACATTTTCTTTTATCCTCTCTGTGAGGCCAAAAAGTTTCTCTTTTAATTGTCCCTGTCTGTAAGATTGATCTTTGTCTGGAAAAGAAACAGGTGACATCAAACATCAGTCAGTCTCTGTCATGTTGTTGTTTTACTAAGATCATTTCGTATTGAAAACTAATAATCACTAAAAATAACATTATGAACAATATAAAAAAGTTAAATCTGGTCCTCTAGACATTCAAAAAAACAAAACAAAGCAAAACAACAAAAAAATGTAGAAACGTTTCGTCTCTCATCCAAGAGAATTCCTCAGTCTGAGGTGCTGTATTCAGCTCAGTCTCTTAAATAGCACCTTCTCAGAGTGGATCAACCAGTTTTGCTGCTGACAACCAAAACTGGCTGATCACATGCTCAAGAAGGACCATCAGCCTAACAATGGATCATTAGCACACTGATGGCTGTTCAGGCCAGGACTCTGCGGTCTACACTCATCTCCAGGCCAGCAGTCACTCTTTCAGGGATGAAGATGTGCACATCCTGGATAGAGAGGAACGATGGTTTGAGAGAGGAGTAAAGGAGGTCATCTTTGTGAAAAGAAATCGTCCATCGTTAAACAGGGGTGGAGGCCTACGTGTTCAACTGTCCCCCTCTTACAATGCTGTGATTGCTAGTATCACTCAGCCCTCTGTGAATAGTAAACAGCCATCAGTGTGCTAATGATCCATTGTCAGGCTGATGGTCCTTCTTGAGCATGTGATCAGCTGGTTTTGGTTGTCAGCAGCAAATCTGGTTGATCCACTCTGAGAAGGTGCTATTTAAGAGACTGAGCTGAATACAGCACCTCAGACTGAGGAAGTCTCTTGGATGAGAGACGAAACGTTTCTACATTTTTTTGTTGTTTTGTTTTTTTGAATGTCCATAGGGCCAGATTTAACTTTTTTAGATTTTTCTACCTGGATTATTGAGCATGCATCAGGATATTTTGAACCACTTTGGCCAAGATTGCCTCAAACTAGTTAGAGAGTTTGAGAAAACAGCAAGGAAGAGGGCAGACTACAGGAACCATTTGCGATTCAACCTCAGATGTCGACAAAGTGGCATCATTCCCAAGAGCCTGGAACTAAAATCTTCGGTCAGCAGGCACCGGGCAAGCAAGATCCTTCAGAAGGCACAGACCCAGCTGCTGAATGAACGGGTGAGACAGACCAATTTTACTATTGAGGCCTTTAAGGCCAAAGAAGAGCACATAAAACAGAAACTAACAACATGCCTAGATCAGACCACACTTCAGCAAGTGATGGACTGTACAGATCAGGCACGCTTAGCACAGCATGTCAAGTCCAAGACTCAACAACAAAACAAGTTTAACGTACTAATAGCTCATCAACACCATCACTATTCCAATAACAACACATTCAGTGTAGGACAACACTCCAGTAGTCAATTACATGCCAGGGAGACAGAAAAGTGGGTGAAGAATTTATCTGAGAGACAGCTCACCCAGCCGGAGACAGAGATTCTTGCCAGGGGACTGAACTTTGCGGTTGAACCAAGTAGAATTCCTCTGGTGGAGATGATCACAGCTACTGAGTCAGCCATCCGCAACAACAAAATTAAAGAGGCTGAAGCAGAACAGCTCAGAATCAAAGTTTCAGCCTGCCTCAGCAATGCCAAACCACCACCTTCCAACATCAGTAGAGAGGAGAGGGATGCACTCATTACTCTTAGCAAGGACAAAAACATCATCATTCTCCCAGCAGACAAAGGAAGGTGCACAGTGATTTTGAACCAGAAAGACTATCATGAGAAAGTTATGACACTCCTTAGTGACTTAAACACTTATGAACCTCTGAAAAGAGATCTAGGAAGTGGTTACAAGAAGAAATTGATAGATTGCCTGAAAATTTTGGAGCAGGACAAGGCTATTGACCGTTTTCTGTACCACAGACTGTACCCAGGGGAGGCCACACCTAGTCTGTATGGTTTACCTAAAATCCACAAACAAGGTGTACCTTTAAGACCAATCGTTAGCATGATTAACTCTGTCACTTACAATGTTTCCAAATATCTGGTGTCTGTACTCATCCCTTTAGTTGGCAGCTCAAAACACCACATACAGAACACCATGGACTTTGTGGATAAGGTGAGGGATGTCATCATGGAGACTGATGAAACAACGGTCTCTTTTGATGTCACATCACTCTTTACGTGCATTCCTGTTGATGATGCAGTAGAGGTGGTCAGTTTAAAATTAAAATCAGACACCACTCTGAGCAGCAGGACCACGCTTTCCACAGAACAACTGTGTCAACTCTTGAAACTGTGCCTGCAGTCAACCTACTTCACATATGGGGAGCAATATTATAGGCAGAAACATGGGTGTGCTATGGGGTCTCCAGTTTCTCCTATTGTTGCCAACCTGTACATGGAGTAGGTAGAAAAGAGAGCCTTGACATCCTTTTCAGGGACACCACCAAGTCATTGGTTCAGGTATGTTGACGACACCTGGGTTAAAATTAAATCTCAGGAAGTCCAACATTTTACTGACCACATAAACTCTGTGGATAAATACATCAAGTTCACACGAGAAGATGAAAAAAATGGCAAGTTGGCTTTCTTGGATAGAGGACATTTGCAAACTGAGGTGTACCGCAAACCCACCCACACAGACCAGTATTTGCAGTTTGACTCCCATCACCCTTTGGAGCACAAGTTAGGAGTCATCAGGACTCTGTATCACAGAGCAGACAGCGTCCCCACTAGCTCAGGAGCCAGGCAGAAGGAGAAATCCCACACAAGACAGGCTCTAGAGCAATGTGGATATCCTAACTGGGCCTTCCTGAAAGCAGAGAAGAAACCCAAACACGACTCCAGTCAGCCATCAGGTGAAAATGAGGAATCCAGACCCAGACCAGTGGTCATTCCATTTGTTGAGGGAGTATCAGAGAAACTGAGACGTTTATTTTCTAAACATAACGTCCCAGTGGCTTTTAAACCCCAAAATACATTACGGCAAAGACTGGTTCATCCCAAAGATCCTGTCCCCCGGCACAAACAGAGTAATATTGTGTATGCTGTTCAGTGTCAGGAGGGCTGTGATCAGTCTTACATCGGGGAAACAAAACAGCCACTGGCCAAAAGGATGGCCCAGTACAGAAGATCAACATCATCAGGCCAGGACTCTGCGGTCTACACTCATCTCCAGGCCAGCGGTCACTCTTTCAAGGATGAAGATGTTCACATCCTGGATAGAGAGTGTTGGATTTCATATTTTTATACCTTTTTATATTTCCTATCAAGCATTAAAATGTCATGTTATACAAAGTGTGTGTGCCTTTCTTCAAGGGTTGAACTATATTTATAGAAAATGTTTACTAATTCTAATTATTTTACCTTTATATATAATCTTATATTAGCTAATGATAATTTTACAAGTTCACATTTGATATATTACAAGCAATCAAATCATGCCAGATAGCAGGTAAGATACTGACTGAATCAGGAGGGGAGAGTCCTTTGTGCTCTGAGCACAAGGGGGCCTGGCCGCTCACACACACACTGATTAACATAAATAAAGCTAGAACACATTTCTTTAAGTTAGACTTAATATAGTTTGACTAAGTAAAATCCCTCAGGTTCTCTCTTAATAATAACAATTAACATTTAATCGTTTAATCATTGTTTGATACAGGGTCGGTTTAGATGAGAGGACACAGGTTTAATCTTCACAGTAAGCTACAAGAGAATGTTACTAGATGTGGGGGCAGGGTGACTTCAACTGAACTAAAACACAAGTATAATAAGAGGGATCAATTAAGAACACATAAACATGAGTTAGATAATAATTAATAGTTATTAATTATTCCTAGAAAGAAACAACTTTAACTCAAATCATTTGGTATCAATAAGGTATAATCAAGCTAAACTGAAACTAGAGTGTGAACAGTCTGAACGCAGACGAAGAAACCAAGCTTCCATATCTTATCTCTGGAATGCAGTAAGAGGGGGCGGGCTAGACGAGTAACCATAGTAACCGGGTCTAAACCAATCAGAAAGCTAGCCTTCTCAAACTTTGATAAAAGCCGAAAATGACACACGCCCAGCGAGCATTTCCGGGGAAGCGCAGACCGATGGTTCGTTCTTTAATGCTCCAAATATATGCATATATTTTACAAATGTAATTGTTTGTCTCTGAATACCTGTAACTCCTGTTTGTCAAATAAATCTTTTGAACTAAGGTGACCGTCTCAGCTGTTTTGAACACGACTGTGGAAGAAAGCCACAACAAGAGGAACGATGGTTTGAGAGAGGAGTAAAGGAGGCCATCTTTGTGAAAAGAAATCGTCCATCGTTAAACAGGGGTGGAGGCCTACGTGTTCAATTGTCCCCCTCTTACAATGCTGTGATTGCTAGTATCACTCAGCCCTCTGTGAATAGTAAACAGCCATCGGTGTGCTAATGATTCATTGTTAGGCTGATGGTCCTTCTTGAGCATGTGATCAGCTGGTTTTGGTTGTCAGCAGCAAAACTGGTTGATCCACTCTGAGACGGTGCTATTTAAGAGACTGAGCTGAATACAGCACCTCAGACTGAGGAAGTCTCTTGGACGAGATACGAAACGTTTCTACATTTTTTTGTTGTTTTGCTTTGTTTTGTTTTTTTGAATGTCCAGAGGACCAGATTTAACTTTTTTAGATTTTTCTACCTGGATTATTGAGCATGCATCAGGATATTATGAACAATATTGATGTTACACTCAGAGGCTGTGTGGTAAATTACTCTCAGCTACTACCACCCCAAATCTTAGCTCATTATCTGTAAAACTGGCATTTTTTCTCCTAAGGTAAATGGACTGTACTTATATAGCGCCTTTCTATCTTATTTCAAGCTACTCAAAGCGCTTTACACTACAACCTGTGTCCTCATTTACCCATCCACACAGCACTCTACTAGATCTCTACAAAGCTAATTGAACAAATCATTATAATGAGACTAATCAGTGCTTTAGATCAGATTCAGACACCAATGGGACACACATCAGAGGCTATGAGGGGTTCAGTGTCTTGCCCAGGGACACTTCAGCATGTGACTGCTGGTGGATTCGAACCCCCAACTCTAGCATTGGAGGACGACTGCTCTAACCACTCAGCCACAGCCACCCTCAGTTGACTGTGGCGACCATCTTGAATTGAGTCAACTCCAAAAGGTAATCAGTTGTAGAATTGTTAAATTTCAATAAAATATGGTGGTCCTTGTGATTTTTGCTAATACAGAGTTTATGTTAAAAATTTAAATAAAGATCTTGCACAGTCTGTGAGCAGTCAGAACAAGAGTTGGAATCAGCCCCAGCTACTACCACATACAAACATGAATCAATTTATTCAAAGGTGACAGTTATTGTCATTTGTGTTATTTGTTAAGGTCAGAGCTGTGGAAGACATCTAGATTTAATTATCTTAGATCCAAGGACTACTTTCTGAGAGTTTCAATAATATCCATCCAGTAGATCATAAGATATTTTGCTAACATCCAGACACACACACTCATATAAACAGTTCAGTGAGATCAGGTAAATAAAGTTTGTTCCTGCCCAGACATTTCAAATCAATGTTTCCTCGTCACCTGAAGTACTGCTCCAGCTCGATCACTGCCAGGCTGAGGACTTTGGCAGGGAGCTTCCTCTGCTGCTGCTGGACCCAGGTAGTCAGGGTGGGCCCACAGGCTGACCTGCCATGCCTTGTTTCCTGTGGTAAGTGGAAAAGCTGGATTTAGATAGAACTTCTACAAACAGGAACATGTGGCCTATTGAAATGGAAACATATGGGTTTGCTGCTTGGGGAGCATTTATTCTATTTCGTATTAAAAAAGAAAAAGTACTTAAATAAATAAATAAATCAAGTAAATAAGCTCCAGCTCTCATTGGAGCGGTTCACAGCCGAGTGTGAAGCAGCTGGAATGAGAACCAGCACCTCCAAATCTGAGGCCATGGTCCTCAACCAGAAAATGGTGGATTGCTCTCTTCAGGTCAAGGGTGAGGTTCTGCCTCAAGTAGAGGAGTTCAAGTGTCTGGGAGTTTTGTTCATAAGTGAGGGAAGAATGGAGCGTGAGATTGACAAATGGATTGGTGCAGCATCTGCAGTATTGTGGACTCTGTACCGGTCTGTTGTGGTGAAGAGAGAGCTGAGCTGTGAAACAAAGCTCTCTGTTTACTGGTCAGTCAACATTCCTACCCTCATCTATGGTCATGAACTCTGGGTAATGACCAAAAGAATGAGATCATGGATACAAGTGGTTGAAATGAGTTTCCTCTGCAGGGTAGCTGGAGATAGGATGAGAAGATCAATTATCCAGGAGAGACTCGGAGTAGAACCGCTGCTCCTCCACATCAAGAGGAGCCAGTTGAGGTGGTTCAGGCATCTGGTAAGGATGCCCGACTTCAGAACAAGAGGAAGATAATGGATGGATGGATGGATGGATGGATGGATGAAGTAAATAACAACTACAGAATTCCTTGACCATTTGCATTTCTAAAGCAAAACAGTTCTGAGGAAATGTTAGACTAATGAACAGCATGAAATTGCGTCATCCATCTTCTTCTAGAAAAGGGTGTGTGTGGTGGTGCAGAGGTTAGAGAAGGTGGAACTGTGATCAGAAGGTTGCCAGTTCAACTCCCTGGACTGACAACATCAAAATGTGGGTGTGAAAGGTGAAGCACCAACATCTGCCTCCACCCTCATTTGCCTCACTCTGGGCCCTTGAGCAAGGCCCTTAACCCCCACCATCTGCTCCCCCGGGTGCCCTACATTTAAACTCTCTGCTCCACACAGAGGGCTGTGGTAGCTCGGTGTCTGTGGTTGCGTAAGGAAGAACATCTGGTGTAAAAACAATTGTCAAGTCTTCATGTGAGTTAGTTTGATGTGGTGACCCTGAAGAAGGAGCAGCTAAATCAGCTTCTAGAAAATCCAGTAAAAACCTGAGACTAACTTTATTAACTGAGGCCAAGACAGAACCTTACAGAACACAGAACTTCTCTAACTCTGTCAGTTTTACAGATGTAAACTAAAGTTGTGTCTGATTCCACAGCAGGCTGGTTTGAAGCAAATCAAGGAGGAGCTATTTATAAGACAGTTCTTGGTGGCAGGCCTCAGACTGATGAAGTCTTTCAGATGAAAGACAAAACATTTCCCCCCAAAACAATCTGTCTGTTCCCTTGCCCGGACGTGGGTTACCGGGGCCCCACTCTGGAGCCAGGCCTGGAGGTGGGGCACGCGGGCGAGCGCCTCGTGGCCGGGCTTTTACCCATGGAACTCGGCCGGGCACAGCCCGAAGAGAAGACTTGGGTCCCCCTTCCCATGGGCTCACCACCTGTGGGAGGGGCCAAAGGGGTCGGGTGCAATGTGGGATGAGTGGTGGCCGAGGGCGGGGACCCTGGCGGTCTGATCCTCGGCTACAGAAGCTGGCTATTGGGACGTGGAATGTCACCTCACTGGTGGGGAAGGAGCCTGAGCTGGTGTGTGAGGCTGAGAGGTCCCGGCTAGAAATAGTCGGACTCATCTCTACGCATGGCTCTGGCTCTGGAACCAGTTTCCTTGAGAGGGACTGGATACTCTTCCACTCTGGAGTTGCCCCTGGTGAGAGGCGCCGAGCAGGAGTGGGCATACTTATTGCCCCCCAACTTGGTGCCTGTGTGTTGGGGTTCACCCCGGTAAATGAGAGGGTGGCCTCCCTCCGCCTACGTGTGGGGGGGACGGGTTCTGACTGTCGTTTGTGCTTATGCACCAAACGGCAGTTCAGATTATCCACCCTTTCTGGAGTCCTTGGAGGGGGTACTGGAAAGTGCACCTCCTGGGGACTCCCTTGTTCTGCTGGGGGACTTCAATGCACATGTGGGCAATGACAGTGAGACCTGGAGGGGTGTGGTTGGGAGGAACGGCCCCCTTGATCTGAACCAGAGTGATGTTCTGTTATTGGACTTCTGTGCTCGTCATGGATTGTCAATAACGAACACCTTGTTCAGGCATAAGGGTGTCCATATGTGCTCTTGGCACCAGGACACCCTAGGCTGCAGTTCGATGATCGACTTTGTCATCGTCTCATCTGATCTGTGGCCACCTGTCTTGGACACTCGGGTGAAGAGAGGGGCGGAGCTGTCCACTGATCACTACCTGGTGGTGAGTTGGCTCCGATAGTGGGGGAGGATGCCGGTCAGACCTGGCAGACCCAATCGTATTGTGAGGGTTTGCTGGGAACGTCTGGCAGAGTCTCCTGTGAGACGGAGTTTTAACTCCCACCTCCGGGAGAACTTCGAACATGTTCCGAGGGAGGTGGGGGACATTGAGTCCGAGTGGACCATGTTTCGTGCCTCTATTGTCGAGGCGACTTACTGCTGCGGTCGCAAGGTTGTCGGTGCCTGTCGCGGTGGCAACCCTCTAACCCGATGGTGGACACCGTCGATGAGGGATGCTGTCAGACTGAAGAAGGAGTCCTATCGGGCCTTTTTGGCCTGTGGGACCCCGGAAGCAGCTGATGGGTACCGGCAGTCCAAGCGACATGCGGCTCGGGTGGTCGCTGAGGCAAAAACTCGGGCATGGGAGGAGTTCAGAGAGGCCATGGAGAATGACTTCCGCACGGCTTCGAGGCGATTCTGGTCCACCATCCGGCATCTCAGGGGGGAAAGCGGTACGCCACCAACACTGTTTATAGTGGGAGTGGTGTGCTGCTGACCTCAACTCGGGATGTTGTGGGTCGGTGGGTGGAATACTTTGAAGACCTCCTCAATCCCACCAGCACGTCTTCCACTGAGGAAGCGGAGCCTGGGGACTCTGGGTCGGGCCTTCCAATCTCTGGTGCTGAGGTCACCGAGGTGGTTAAAAAGCTCCTCGGTGGCAGGGCCCCAGGGGTGGATGAGATTCGCCCGGAGTTCCTTAAGGCTCTGGATGTTGTAGGGTTGTGTTGGCTTACGTGACTCTGCAATATTGCGTGGACATCGGGGGAAGTTCCCCTGGATTGGCAGACCGGGGTGGTGGTCCCCCTATTCAAAAAGGGGGACCGTAGAGTGTGTTCCAACTACAGGGGAATCACGCTCTTAAGCCTCCCTGGTAAGGTCTACTCGGGGGTTCTGGAGAGGAGGGTCCGTCAGATAGTCGAACCTCGGATTCAGGAGGAGCAGTGCAGTTTTCGTCCTGGCCGTGGAACACTGGACCAGCTCTACACTCTCAGCAGGGTCCTGGAGGGTGCGTGGGAGTTTGCCCAACCGGTCTACATGTGCTTTGTGGACTTGGAGAAGGCGTTCGACCGCGTCCCTCGGGGAACCCTGTGGGGGGTACTCTGGGAGTATGGGGTACCGGGCCCTTTGATACAGGCTGTTAGGTCCCTGTATGACCGGTGTCAGAGCCTGGTCCGCATCGCCAGCAGTAAGTCGGGCTTGTTCCCGGTGAGAGTTGGACTCCGCCAAGGTTGCCCTTTGTCGCCGATTCTGTTCATAACTTTTATGGACAGAATTTCTAGGCACAGCCAAGGTGTTGAGGGGATCCGTTTTGGTGGCCTTAGGATTGCTTCTCTGCTTTTTGCAGATGATGTGGTCTTATTGGCTTCATCAGATCATGATCTACAGCTTTCGCTGGAGCGGTTCGCAGCTGAATGCAACGCGGCCGGGATGAAGATCAGTTCCTCCAAATCCGAGGCCATGGTCTTGAGCCGGAAAAGGGTAAAGTGCCCTCTCTGGGTCAGGGAGGAGGTCCTATCCCAAGTGGAGGAGTTTAAGTATCTTGGGGTCTTGTTCACGAATGAGGGAAAAATGGAGCGTGAGATCGATAGGCGGATAGGTGCAGCGTCAGCAGTGAAGCAGGCGCTGTACAGGTCTGTCGTGGTGAAGAGAGAGCTGAGTCAAAAGGCGAAGCTCTCAATTTACCGATCGATCTACGTTCCCACCCTCATCTATGGTCACGAGCTTTTGGTTGTGACCGAAAGAATGAGATCTCGGATACAAGCGGCCGAAATGAGTTTTCTCCGCAGGGTGTCTGTGCTCTCCCTTAGAGATAGGGTGAGAAGCTCGGTCATCCTGGAGAGACTCAGAGTAGAGCCGCTGCTTCTCCACATCGAGAGGAGCCAGTTGAGGTGGCTTGGGCATCTGTTTAGGATGCCTTCTGGACGCCTCCCTGGTGAGTTGTTCCGGACACGTCCCACCGGAAGGAGGCCCAGAGGAAGACCCAGGACACGTTGGAGGGACTATGTTTCTCAGCTGGGACTATGTTTCTCAGCTGGCCTGGGAACGCCTCGGGATTCCCCCGGAAGAGCTGGCCCAAGTGGCTGGGGAGAGGGAAGTCTGGGCCTCCCTACTTAGGCTGCTACCCCCGCGACCCGACCCCGGATAAGCGGAAGAAAATGGATGGATGGATGGACAATCTGTCCAGATGATCTGATTTAATCTTTTTTTGTGATTTGTTTACTGGATGATTGAACTTTGAAAGCTTTTGTCTGAAAAAAGGTCAGTGTCATCCCCAACACATAACTGATCGCACGAGATTCATTCAACCTTTATTTAGACAGGTAAATCCCATTGAGATACATCTTTAAAACTTTATTATTAACTATTAGGGTCAACACTGTCTGTAAGCAAAATATCTCATGAAATATTTTAAATAAACTTTCAGAAATTACATTTACAACAGATAAACACAATTTTATATGGCCACCACAGCTAATCAATCTTGCTCATGAGAACAATGAACGTTGTAACTCCGTTACATTTGCAGATCTTGAGTTTAATTTAGCCCTGTGATGGACTTGCGACCTGTCCAGGGTGTACCCCGCCCCTCGCACAGTGATTGCTGGACATGGGCACCAGCGACCCCCGTGACCCAAAACGGAAGAAACAGGTAAAAGATAATGGGTGGGTGGATGGATGGATGGATGGATGGAGTTTACTTTAATATGCAGTAGCAGGTGCACACACACTGGACTGCTGTGTGCAGGGCCTCTTTTTGGACATCTTAGGAACTGTGGCAGTCTCTCACTTCCTCTGGATGGCATTAACTTGGCCCCCAGTTCAGGAGTCCAGTAAAGAAACTTGGTCTCATTTTAAATCAGAATGTCATTAACCCCTTCATCAAAAAAGGGCCATGAATGCTTCCTTCCACCAATGTTCCAGAGTTTCTAATGCATTTAACATTGTGCACAATATCATTAAAATTAGAAACACTGTGTTCAAAAATGTTGCAGAAAAATGGCTCCATGGGTTTATCACTTCTAGGGTGGCCTATTTAATTCTTTATTATCTTGGGGTCCAAAAAACTATTTAAAACGTCATTTGATCCAAAATGCTGCAGTTTTTATGACAGGTCATATTTTCCAGTTTTAGTTTCTCTTCAGTGGCTCCCAGTCAAACTCAGGACATTCTTTAAAATCTTACTTCTAACAAAGCACTTCCTGCTCAGACTGCAGGTTTACAGGAAAAGAAATAATATTGTGAACAAGGTTTTTTTTCGTTTTTTTTTGGTCAATCTTTTCAGAAAGTGAAACTCATACTACATAGATTCATTAGAGTGAAATACTTTATTTCTTGTAATTTTGATGAATATAAAATAATTTCAAATAATGAAAAACTAAAGTTCATTGTCTAAGATCATTAGAATATTGTGAAGAGGTTGAGTATTGTAATCTCATAGTGTCACACCCTGATCAGCTGATTAACTCTAGACATGAGCTACAAATGTCTCATTTCTCACATTGAGCACTCCTGAACCAGAGACATCAGAAGTGTCTTACCTGCTGAGGAGACAAAGAGCTGGACTGTCGCTCTGTGGTCCAACGTTCTCTTTTCAGATTAAAGTAAATGTTCATGTCATTTGTAAAGCAAGGTCCCAGAGTCTGGAGGAGAGAATCCACATTGTTGAAGTCCAGTGTGAAGTTTCCACAGTCAGTGATGGTTTGTTTGGGTCCATGTCCTCTGCTGGTCCACTGGGTTTTCTGAAGACCACAGTGAATGTAGCATCTAGCAGGACATTTTAGAGACTTCCTGCTTCCTTCTGCTGACCAGTTTTATGGAGACACTGGTTTCATTTTCCAGCAGCACATGGCTCCTGCCCACACTGACAAAAGTACCAAAAGCTGTGGAATATTCTCATTTTCTGAGACACTGAACTTTAGTTTTCCATTATCTGTAATCCGTAATCATCCATAACCAAATTTCAATTTGTTTTTAGCTACCGGTAATTTCATAATTTCTGCTAATTTAAATCAAATTCAGGAAATATGTTTGTTCTGCTTTTTTTTCTGCTAATTTAGACTTGTTTTTCTTTTTCAGATAAAATTCAGCATGTTTTTTTTTTAGCTAATTCCAGCTGTTTAGCAAGTTCTTCAGAAATAAGCCTTCACACTGCATTTTCACAGGAAATGCTATTTCTCTACTTTTGTTTGTTTGTTTTGTTTGAAAGACATCGTCTGCACCGATTCACCTGGATATAGTTATGGACGAGGGTGATAAAGTTGTCCACAGTCATCTGCATCACAACATGGGCCTTTGGTACACACACTCCTTCAGCTAGCTGAAACACAGAGGAGAATGTGGAAGGACATCACATGTCTTTATGTTCCCAACAAGACTGAGGACATCTGCAGCAGATGTTGGAATAATAAACAACCACAGGTCTGAAACAGCTGGGGTGTCGTGTAAAATGTAAAAACAATGCAATGATTTCCAAATCTCAAACCCATATTTTACTGACACTGGAACATATTAAACATATCAAATGTTTAAACTAAGAAACTGGACCATTTTTAAGGAAGAAATAATATACTGGTACTTTTGGATTTAATGACAACTTTTCTAAAATGTTTGGACAAGAGTAAAAAAAGGTTGTAAAGGTGGTCTGAATAAGAAGAGCATTTTACAACCAGTTAGATAGAGTAACTGGCAACAGGCCAGTAAGAGGAGTGGGTACAAAAAGAGCATTTAGAGACAGAATCTGTCAGAAGTGAAGATGGGCAGAGGTTTACCATCCTGAGAAAAACCATGGCTCAAAATAGTGGAACAGAATAAAGTTCCTCCATGAAAAATTGTAAAGACTTTTAATATCCCGTCATCTAGGGTTCCTATCAGAAGAACTGATCCTAAACAAATCTTAGTGCAAAGGACGACGCTAGTAGGGATGAAACAACAGTGCGTGTTAAATTGAGTACAAGAACAAATATCTGAGTACTTGCCAATCCTGAGTGTCATTAATCAGTGGCGTACAGTCTGAAGAGGCACAACAAGAAACAAACAAAATATACACAACAATAAAATAAAGCAAATATTGATTTTTACATTTGATCAATTTCTGTAGGATTTCTCCCTTTCTATTGACGTTTGTATACACTTTTACTATGTGGTGTATTTTTCTAGGGCAGCACGGTGGCGCAACTGGTAGAGCTGCTGCCTCTCAGCAAACAGGTCCCTGGTTCAAACCCCGGTCCAGGGGCCTTTCTGGGTGGAGTTTGCATGTTCTCTCCGTGCATGTGTGGGTTTTCTCCGGGTTCCTCCCACAGACCAAAAACATGCATGTTAGGCTGATAAATTGTCCCTAGGTGTGAGTGAGAGAGTGAATGGTTGTTTGTCTCATTTGTCTCTATGTGGACCTGTGATGGACTTGCGACCCGTCCAGGGTGTACCCCGCTCCTCGCACAGTGATTGCTGGACATGGGCACCAGCGACTCCCGTGACCCAAAATGGAATAAACGGGTAAAGATAATGGATGGATGGATGGTGTATTTTTCTACATAAGTGCATTTATATTACACAAATATTACATGTTCATCATCCATCCATCCATCCATCATCTTCCTCTTGTTCTGAAGTCAGGCCTCAGGGGCAACATTTTGAGGTCCAGACATCTCTTTCCACAGCCTCTTCCAGCACTTCTGGGAGGATTCCAAGGTGTTCCCAGGCCAGCTGAGAGACATAGTCTCTCCAGCGTGTCCTGGGTCTTCCCCATGGTCTCCTCCCAGTTGGACATGCCCGAAGCACCTCCCTAGGGAGGTGCCCAGGAGGCATCCTTAACAGATGTCCGAACCACCTCAGCTGGCTCCTGGAGGAGCAGTGGTTCTTCTACTCCGAGTCTCTCTCCTGACAACTGAACTTCTCATGCCATCTCCTGAACAAAACCCAGATACTTGAACTCCTCCACTTGAAGCAGAACCTCACCCCCGACCTGAAGAGAACAATCCACCTTTTTCTGACTGAGGACCATGGCCTCAGATTTGGAGGTGCTGTTTCTCATCCCAGCTGCTTCACACTCGGCTGTGAACCGCTCCAGTGAGAGCTGGAGATGATGCATGATGATGCCAACAGGATGACATCATCCCTCCATCCCCTGGTTGCACCGAGACATTCTGTTCAAGTGAATCTTGTTGTTCTAAAATAAAACCACTGCCGGGGCACCTGTGAGCTCACAGTCTATTTCGTTTTCCTGTTTGTATGTGTTACTGAACCAAAACATTAAATAAAAGAACCAGAAATAACAAAAGGTGCATCACGTTTTGATTTGACAGAAAACACGGTAAGTTAAATTCTATCATTTTAAAAGATTTAAGTATTTATTGGTTTGTTCACCCAAACTGGACTTTCAGTCAGAACGTGGTTTTCAGATGACGGTGCATCAAATAGTTTTTAACTCCCAACTTTCCAGGGAGGTTCCTGATCAACTCCACTTACATCATTAAGCTTTTATATTCCTTTATATAAACTAACAGAGCTTAGATATGTGAACGTGCACACGCAGACAGGTGAGCACAGACCTGCCGTGCTCTACCAACATTTCTCTCTTTAAAACAAAAATACTTTAGACTGTGGGCAAAAATTAAAACTTAAATTGGACCTTTGTAGCCTCATGATATTAAAATAAATACATTTAGTTCTCTCTGTTATTAATAATGACTCATTCATATTTAGATAGAATATGTTCTGCTTGTGGATGTTAACTGTGAGTGTGTGTGAATCTGATTCTGTCACTCACCACACACAAACGTCACTACATGTTAATACTAATAATACCACTACATGTTTTGAAGTACTGTGATAATGTGTTTGACGTCAGATGAGCTTATTTTTCATGTTTACTCCTCAAATGGAGCAGGACAGCCTCACTTTTCCTAAAGCTCCTATTAGTGAGCAGCAGTGACTGTCTGGAGGATCCAGTCCAAATCTGTAAATTCTCTCTTGTTCAGTGAGGCTGCAGTCGTCTCCCACTGCTGTCTGCAAATTCTTTAAACTCACCATCACGTTAGTCATTTAGATGTTTATCAAACTGCTTGTGCTGAAAGTAAAAATTCTGTTACTTTAGTCTCCATCATTCATTTTTAAATACATGGCTTATTTTTTGTTTGGCAACACAGACACGTATTTTTTGGCCTATAAGTCGCGGGGGTTTTGGCATAATTTGCAAGCCCTGCGACTTATAGGCCGAAGCGATGTATTTATGGATTTTTCCCCCCATATTTATAAACCAATTTTTGCCTGAGATATGACCGTTTTCATTCATTCTGACTGAAAACATTGAACACTACCATTTTCAGCTGCTAGATGGCACTCGAGTGGTATGGCATGCCGTTGTATCATGTAATAGGTAAAAGTGGCTATTAAAGACAGTCAGCTTGCCAAAGCAGCTCGCTTGGAGCAACCGTCAAATCGGCTTCATTTTGCTGCGCTGCCCCAGTGAAATGCAGCTGATTTGATCATTAAAGTGCATTTATTAAGTAAAAGTTCAACTGAGACACACCCTTGGTATAAAGTTTAGCAAACAAATAATTGTTTTAGGTGCTTATGTTGTTCAATTCTGAAGAAATGCAGTGAGTCGCCCTCTGTGTGCTCCTGCTTCTGCAAATCAGCTTTTGAAATGCAGCTGATTTGACTGTCAAAGTGCATTTATCAAGGAAAAATTAAACTGAGACACTCCTTTACTATAATTTTGAGCAAACAAATAATTGTTTTTAAGTGTTAATCTTGTTAAATTCTTGTTAAAGTCCTCACGTGCACGCTCCTCATGGCCGCCACTTGGCAGCCAATCGATTTTTGGCACAACACCGGCCAACAGGTTTCAGGTTGTCAGCGGTGACACATAATAGATGCACCGTATACGGCAAAGCGACATATTTATGTTTTTTCCACTTTATTAGACGTACTTGGACTGATGCGACATATAGGGCGGTGCGATGTTTACGGCAGAACATACAGTAAATAAAACTACCTTCACATGACAGAGATGAATGTCACGCTTCAGTAAAGTGGTATTAGTACTCTTGGTATTGGAACCCTTTTACAAGTACAAGTACAGGTAAATGTACACTGTATTGGAACAGATACCGTATACCACCATGAATGAATTGATAAAAGCCAATGCTCTTTAGTCCCCCAGGGCCCACTTCATTAAAAACAGATCTGATTGTGACATCACTGCATGGGCTCAGGAACACCTCCACAAATCTAACCAGGTGGAGTCAGGTCCTCTGGACCGATTCTTCTCTGTTGAATCATTTCATCTTTTATCCAAAAGCCATGGCTGCTCCAGGAACAGTTTTTCCCCACAAACCATCAACCTTTTGAGCAACTAACTAGTCTCCGCATTTACTTGCTTCATGTAACATTAAACTATCCAAATGATTCATACTGCATGTCTGCCCCTAATGGACCTATTCTACACAAGCACACTACTTGTAGACTGTGTAATATCTGTAAATAAGCCTTATTGTGTAAGTACCATATTGTAACATTCTTTACCTGAGAGACACCACCAGCTGGAGACAAATTTATTCTATATTTTTTACACACTTGACTAATAACTATGACTTTAATTTAAACATTTAACATGTTTACGATGCTCCTTTGTGAATAAAACATAGTTTTATGAGGTTTACCAATCATTGCACTCCGTTCTTGTTTATATTTTACAAAACATTGTAAATTGTTTGGAACTGGAGTTGGACATTCATTCTGCACCTGAGCGCATGGAGCTCTCCGTGCCCAGCTAACGCTTCGGGGGAGGGCTTGTTTCTCGGTGGTGCAGCTGCAACCCAGAGCTTGAACTGCTGCCAGCAGAGCCCCACCTCCTTCCAACTGCAGGAGAGCTGCAAACACATTGTTAGGTATACTCTGCTTAGGATAAAATATGCATTTCATTTTGACATAACCTGCTGAGGAGGGACAAAGTAAGATTTAGTGTCCAATGTTTCTCCTCACCTGGATCAATAGCCACCACCATGTGTTTGATGCATTCCTCTGGCCTCTGGGCCTTGACAGCCTCTGCGAGAGCTCTCCTCTCTGCTTTTGCCCTTTCTTGTTCTCGTTTGAGAGTTTCCTTTTCCTGCTGCTGACTGTTTCGAAGCTGCCTCTGCTTCACAGCCTCCTCACTGGAAGCCCGGATCGCCTCTGCTGTTCTCTTGGTTGCTTTCTTTATGGCAGGAGAGAAAAGACTGAGAGAAGCATCCTCAGACTCTGCTCGGGCTGTTTGTTTCACCTGTCGTGAGCTGGTCTGTTCAGATGACAAACAAAACTCAGCACCTTTACCACTGGGGACAGCAGAGGAGGTGTTAATCAAACTGTCCTGCCTGTGTTTGAGTCTCTCCGACAGAGGAACGTAAGACACGTCGTCATCTGAATCACTGCTAATCGTCATTATATTAGCAGCTCTTCCAGTGTGTGCCCCTGGATCACCGGCCTTAAGGGACGAGACGGCTGATAGTTCAGCATCAGCTCCACCTGTGCCTGGTTTCTTTTGGCTGGAGTGCCCACTTGGCTGGAGGAAGGCAAACACTGGCAGCTCCTCATCCAGGTCACTGCTGTCACTGTCACCCCCCATCTTCAGACACTGCACACACCAAGAGGAAAGAACTGTTAAAATCAACTGCAGACCGTTCCTCTCAACAAAGCAGACTTCTTTTCTCCATGTTGGCAAAAACACCACCAATAACACCAAGTTCCCAATAAAAATTTATACAATTTAGTGATTTTCTTTAAATTTACCCTTTATTTACCCAGATAGTCTCATTGAGCCACGAGAACTCATTTTCAAGAGAGACCTGTTTAGGGAGCAGATGGGGGTTAAGGGCCTTGCTCATGGGCCCAGGGTGGGGCGAATGAGGGTGGGGGCAGGTGTGGGTGCTTCACCTACCCCACCCACATTTTTGATGTTGTCGGTACCGGGGCTTAAACCGGCGATCTTCCAATCACAGGCCCACCTTCTCTAACCTTTGCGCCACCGGTAATGGCACCTGCCAAGTAAATACTTGAAATAATAACTAAGTAAGTGTTCTGGTGGATTCAGGAACAGGGACATTGAGTCCTGATGCATGCTCAGTAATCCAGGTAGATAAATCTAACAAGGTTAAGCCTTAAAATTTAATTTTAAAAGACGAAACGTTTCAACAAAGAAGAATCCGTCTAGAGGACCTGGCTTAACCTTGTTTGATTAATTTATACTTCCTACTATCAAGTATTACGGTGTCGAAGACCAGAATTAGTTTACTAAGTTACTTTGTAACTCAATACATGAACAACTTTAAGGAGCTGACAGCCTCATTATTCCTTTAATAAGACAGAGAACATGCGAGCAATGCGCACAGAACAGAACGAGATTAGCAAACGTTAGTTAGCTTAATGATAAAAAAAACACGCAGGATAATTTCACTAAACACCAACACAAACTTATAATTACAGCAGTTATAATACCTATTTATTTCTTTATCTTTACATACCACAGACAGAAAGTTTTAGTTTCTTTTTATGTAGAAGTTACACACATCAACGTTTTTGACTCTCCCGGGTTGTGTTATATTTACTGGTAATCGGACAACTACATTTTCCTCGCGCGACCCCGATGAAATTTGAAGTCAACTGACGTAAACATGCAAAAGAAAATATTAAATTGTTTGGAACAGCAGAAATAAATCTCACTGATAATGGTTATGTTTGATGTATTTTATATTTTGTATGTTAAGAACAGTTTGTTTGAAAAATGTTTGAAGCCAAAGACAGTAACTATTTCCTCCTGTGATTTAGGATTTTTTTTAATGTACTTGAATGTAGCTTAAGCATCCGGCTTGACGCACAGGATATGACGTTTGAGGAGCGACGTTAAAAATGGCAGTATTGGCGTCCTTGATGCTCAGGTCCAGAACAGGTACAATATATACGTATTTATTTATATACATGAAACAATTTGAGTATTTATTGCACTAAAGTAATTATTACATGGTTTCCCGGCGGTTCGTGTTGGGTTACATTTAGAGTACAGTGTCTGTTTGCTAAGCAGCACGGTGGCGCAACTGGTAGAGCTGCTGCCTCTCAGCGAGCAGGTTCTTGGTTCAAACCCTGGTCCAGGGGCCTTTCTGGGTGGAGTTTGCATGTTCTCTCCGTGCATGCGTGGGTTTTCTCCGGGTACTCCGGTTTCCTCCCATAGACCAAAAACATGCATGTTAGGCTGATTGGTAACTCTAAATTGTCCCTAGGTGTGAGTGAGAGAGTGAATCGTTGTCTCTATGTGGCCCTGTGATGGACTTGCGACCCGTCCAGGGTGTACCCCGCCCCTCGCACAGTGATTGCGACCCCCGTGACCCAAAAATGGAATAAGCGGGTAAAGATAATAGATGTTTGCTAACGGCAGCAGTATGATCGCAAACTGCTACTAGACAAAAAAAAAAAAAAAAAATATATATATATATATATATATATATATACATATATGTTTTAATTTAATCCTTGTCACGTTTACTTTAAACTCATAATTTGCTGCTTCTAAATTAGAAATACTATAGTTTAATTAAAAGTCTCCACAGCTAAACTTTTTTCATCGTGCAGATGTAATAATAACACCACATCATGTGGTTGATTTTTTTATTTTATTTATTTATTTATTGTAATGTGGCTGAGAGAGAAACTAAGAACGTTAATGTTCCCAATTTAAAGAACTTGTCTGCTCTGCTGGTTTCAGGTCTGTTGTGTTCCAGTCCAGCTTCCCTGGTGGACTCAGTGAGGTTTGCATCGAAGAAGTCTGCTGGCAGCAGCAAAAATGTTGGAGGGCACAGCCCCGGCCGGAGGTTTGGCTTCAAGAAACAAGATGGTAATGTCTACACTAGATGTCAAGTCAGATTTATTTCTAAAGAACATTTCAAAACAGCAGTTGTTAATTCAATTCAGTTTATTTATATAGCTAGCACCAAGTCACAACAGAAGGTGGCTCAGTGCACTGTACAGAAATATTCACATATGGGGCATGCAACGTCACACAATGTGTTTATTCATTAATTTATTAATTCATTCATTCCTCCCTTCCCAAGCTGGAACATGTAGCTGGTGGAACTATTGTTGCAACGCCTCATTGCATCCTAAACCTCTTCTAGGAATGCACAAAACAATAAAGCTATGTTACTATATATTATTCTTTAACGGTGCTTTCAGACACATAAAACCATCAATTTTAAAATATAACAACAACTCTCACAATGTGTATCCTGATGCATGCTCAATAATCCAGGTAGAAAAATCCAAAAAAGTTCAATCTGGTCCTCTGGACATTAAAAAAACAAAACAAAGCAAAAAAAAAATGTTTTTTTTTGCTTTGTTTTGTTTTGTTTTTTTGAATGTCCAGAGGACCAGATTGAACTTTTTTGGATCTCATGATGTGTGTTTGCATTTTTTTAACTTGTGTATAAATACATATTGGGCTTATATGTAAAGGGGTGATATTTTAAAATTATATTACAGGTGGTCAAAATAGCGTAACATAGTTATTTTTATTTGCCCTACTGGCTGACGTCAACCTTATGACATTATTTCACTGTAATGAATTAGATATGAATGATTTCAGTTCAGGCAGTGAATACATGAGCATTTGACTCGACGTAACTGATGGCATCACTCTGTCACAACTGTTGGAGAACTGTAGATTGTAAAGGTTGTTACAGAGTTCTTTTGTTGTTCTCATTCTCTTCTACACTCATGCACAACTGAATAGTAATGTTCACGTTATGTGTTTTAATGTTTTTATCGTGTTTACATAAAAACAAAAAAGAGTCAATTGAATATCACCAAATTGTCTAAGTTTATGTATGGAAAATGTTGAACTTTGTTCACACAAAACTGTGTACATGTTACTTGATCATTATTTTTAGATTGTTTTGGTCATTTTATCTAAATCAAAACAAGTTTTATTTTGTATCTTTTATGTCTCAAGGACTGCTCCATGTAAGTTTGAGGACTCAGTTCAGTTTAAAGTTTTTTTATTTCAGAACATGATAATTTCATTGAATAAGTTTTACAAACAGATAAATACTGTGGGATTTAGCTGAGCGTAGAAAGAATGAGCTCAAACAAGACTTCAGCTGAAGGTTCATTTTATTTTCCTCCCTGGAAAGAGAAACATGCATTTGTGCAAAAATGTGATGTGCAAATAGACTAAACATAATCCATCCATTATCTTTACCCGCTTATTCCATTTTGGGTCACGGGGGTCGCTGGTGCCCATGTCCAGCAATCACTGTGCGAGGGGCGGGGTACACCCTGGACGGGTCGCAAGTCCATCACAGGGCCACATAGAGACAAACAATGATTCACTCTCTCACTCACACCTAGGGGCAATTTAGAGTTACCAATCAGTCTAACATGCATGTTTTTGGACTGTGGGAGGAAACCGGAGCACCCGGAGAAAACCCACGCATGCACGGAGAGAACATGCAAACTCCACCCAGAAAGGCCCCTGGACTGGGGTTTGAACCAAGGAGGCCTATGTGTTCAACTGTCCCCCTCTTACAATGCTGTGATTGCTAGTATCACTCAGCCCTCTGTGAATAGTAAACAGCCATCAGTGTGCTAATTAGGGCTGAAACGATTCCTCGAATCATTCGAGGACCTCGATTACAAAAAAATCCTTGAGGCAAATTTATCTGCCTCGAAGCTTTGTTAAACTGTTCACTTTCATTTTTCTAGCCGGACGGTTTTTGTGTTACACAACGCTAGCACTTCCGCTAGCGCTTCTGCTTTTGCCTGTCGCGCGCGCATGTGTTTACAGCTATGGAGGGAAACGGAGAACAGCCCAGAAAACGACAGAAACTATCCAAAGTTGGGAACAATTTAAATTAAACAGAAAAAATAACAGCGCAATGCATCCACTGCAAAGCCGAACTCGCATTCCACAACAGCACGTCATCGACGTTGCAGCATCTGAAAACACCCGCTGTATGAATCAAACTCGTCCGCAGCTGAGAACAGGTATCATTTATGCTCTCTTTGCAAAATACGTGAACCTAAATGTATGATAATCTGTCATGTTATACATGTAAAATGAGGCATATTTTTGCTAACGTAACGTTACACTACATCTACCTGGCAGGGTAGCTTGTGTGAGAAAGAAAGAAAGAAAAAAAAAAAAAACACGCAGGACTTGATGCACGTTTGTTAACGATAAAAGCAGCAACAGACTGACGCATTTATTTATTGCTGTACTTCCATCCTGACTCTGAGATATTTAGGGTGAATATTTTGTGTAAATGTATTTACACAAGTGTATTATGAAATTCTTTATCAAAAGGGCTCGTGAAACGGTCGGCACATATTCAGACAAATGGAAAAAATGAAAGACTGAAGCTGTTACTGCTAGGATAAATTAGTGTCCTTTATTATCCTGCCACAGAAAACAGCCAAGCAAAAAACACATGTACACTCGTACACTCTTAACACAGATTGATATGAAATAACTTCTCACCGTGACACTGGCCGGGAAGTCGTTTTCGACCCAGGTAAAGGAGAATCACATCAAAATGGCGTGTGGCACCAGCGCACGTCTGATCCATCACAGGACTTCCCAAGATTAAGTTGCCTGTCACACTTCCTTTATACCTTCCCTGACCGGATCGCGTGAGAGCATTCAAAACAAGTTTGATGGATACCAGAACAACGGATGAGGAGCTGGTGATTTATTACAAATAAGGAGCACGGTGACCTCACGGCGGGCCAAGACCTTGAAGTTAGCAATACTCCTTAAACTTCCTAAAGAGGAAATACGCACTCCTCCATCCCTCTGCAAACCATCAAAGAATGTCCCAAATATTAACAAAGGCAACATAAATCATTCCCCCCTTTGTCTCTGTGACATGTTAAACAAAGTACAATCCCTAATATGTGAATAACACGTTGTATAAGTGTGTTTAAATAAGTGTAATATAGGTCTAGATTGACATAAAAGCATTAAAATAATAATTTCTATATCA